TGCCATCACCGCCCAAGCAGGGAGCTTTGAAATAGTTGAACGGAAGCTCTCCGAAGCTCTAGGCGCTCTTACTGCCTATTACAGGGGAAACCAGCTGATTCCTAATCCATCTAAAATGCAGATGTGTGCTTTTCAACTCAAGAACAGACAAGCATCCTGAGCTCTGAGGATGACCTGGGAAGGAAGGAATCCCACGGGAGCATTGCAACACACCCAAATACCTGGGAGTCACTTTGGACCATGCTCTGACCTACAAGGAGCACTGCCTGAACATCAAGCAAAAAGTGGGCGCTAGAAACAACATCATACGAAAGCTGACTGGCACAACCTGGGGATCACAACCAGACACAGTGAAGACATCTGCCCTTGTGTTAATGTTTATAAATGTTTTATGGTGTTTTGGGGCATCTGATCATTGCCATTGTAAACTGCCCTGAGTTGCCTGAGGGCTGAGACGGGCGGTATACAAATATAGTAAACTAGCCACCCCCTGTATATATATATTTGTGTATATATATTTGTGTATATGTGTGTTTGCCTATATATGTGTGATTTTGTATATGTGTTGTAATGTATTATTTGGGGGTTTTTTTGTTTTTAAAGTCTTTTCTGCTGTGTTTTTCAGCATTTTTATGAGTGATGGTCACTCGTTGTCCTGAGAGGGGTCTTGTGTCCAAATTTGGTGTCAATTCGTCCTGTGGTTTTTGAGTTCTATTAATCCCACAAACGAACATTACATTTTTATTTATATAGACTAGCCGTCCCCTGCCAGACGTTGCTGTGGCCCACATGGGGGTTCTGTGTGGGAGGTTTGGCCCAATTCTATCATTGGTGGGGTTCAGAGTGCTCTGTGATTCTAGGTGAACTATAAATCCCAGCAACTACAACTCACAAATGTCAAGATTCTATTTTCCCCAAACTCCACCAGTGTTCACATTTGGGCATATTGAGTATTCGTGTAGAGTTTGGTCCAGATCCATCATTGTTTGAGTCCACAGTGATCTCTGGATGTAGGTGAACTACAACTCCAAAACCAAGGACACTGCCCACCAAACCCTTTCAGTGTTGGTCATGGGAGAACTGTGTGCCAAGTATGGTTCAATTCCATCGTTGGTGGGGTTCAGAATGCTCTTTGATTGTAGGTGAACTATAAATCCCAGCAACTACAACTCCCAAATGTCAAGATTCTATTTTCCCCAAACTCCACCAGTGTTCACATTTGGGCATATTGAGTATTCGTGTAGAGTTTGGTCCAGATCCATCATTGTTTGAGTCCACAGTGATCTCTGGATGTAGGTGAACTACAACTCCAAAACCAAAGGACACTGCCCACCAAACCCTTCCAGTATTTTCTGTTGGTTATGGGAGAACTGTGTGCCAAGTTTGGTTCAATTCCATCGTTGGTGGAGTTCAGAATGCTCTTTGATTGTAGGTGAACTATAAATCCCAGCAACTACAACTCCCAAATGACAAAATCATTTTTTTTTTTGAGTGAAGGACATACATTGGGTGTTGTTAGGTGTCTTGTGCCTAAATTTGGTGTCAATTCGTCCAGTGGTTTTTGAGTTCTGTTAATCCCACAAACAAACATTACATTCTTATTTATATAGATAATAAGTAGTAAATAATAAATCTCCCACCCGAATCTTAACCAGGATTGGCCCTGCTTTGCCTCCAAGGTCAGCTTGGATCAGAGGGCACCTTTAGGGACTTTGGGCCCTTGTGTGTAGTGTGTGCATTCTTGTTTGTGTGGCTCTGTTTTCTCCCTCTCGCAGAGAAGACGGTTGGGCGTGGGTGATCCCCTGCAAAAGGAATCTGCAAACCCAGACTTCAAGATACGGCAAAGCCGCTGGCCTTAGATTCTGCATGACAAGGGAGGCATTTTAATCCTCTAGACGCCGGCTAAGCTGGTGCCAATTTGGTGCATCTAAGACCCCCCCCCCCCGACCCCCGCCTCCAATTACACCAGGGAGCAGGATCTTTTTCTTTCGCAATAACCAGACTGCGATGGAATTCTCCCAGGCGGTTATCAGTTGTACTGATGGATGGAGTAATCGAACCCCACGGTTGAAAGGGTCCCCCAAAGGCCATCTAGTCTCCTCCCTTTTGCCCTTCAGGAATCCACAACTGAAGTGCTCCCAAAAGGCCTCCAAAGAGGGAGAGTCCCCAAAGCCTTTGAGCTCTCCAGCTGGAGGTCAGCTGTGACCAGCAGTGCTGCAGAATCTGAAAAGGCACGGATGGAGGGCGAAAGAGAGAAACGTGCCAACCCCGATTGGGACCTTCTTCCACCTGGAAACCGATGCCCTCACTGTGGGAAAACATGCGGGCCAAGAATAGGGCTCCAGAGTCACCTTTGGACCCACCCTGGAGGATCATCCTACTCGGACAACGAGGGATTGCCTAATTAAGAAGTAAGTACTAATTAATTTATAACTTATAAGAAAAGCAATTAAAACAAGCCATTAAAATTCATAAATAACACAAAACCCATTAAATAAATAGCATCGTGAATAAATAGAATCCAACAAAAATATTTCGGGTGGAAACGGAATATTTAGTCCGAACTCTAAAGCAACGCATGCAGTCAGTTGAGATGGGCTTGGAGCACGATGCAGCTTGGCACCCCTTTAATTCAGGCATGGGCCCACTTTGGCCCTCCCTCCAGGGGTTTTGGACTTCAACTCCCACCATTCCTAACAGCCGGTAGGCTGTTAGGAATGGTGGGAGTTGGAGTCCAAAACACCTGGAGGGCCCAAGTTTGGGTTTAACTGCTATGGTCAATGCTGTGTAATTCCCCATGTTTACAAAGCCTTCATCCTCCTTGCCAAAGATGCACCAGACTACAACTCCCAAAAATTCCATAGCATTGAGCCGCCACAGTTAAAGTGCTGCCAAACCGCATTAATTCCACAGTGTAGATACACTCCAAGTAACTTATACACTGTAGTAGACAGTAGTGTAGATACACTCCAAGTAACCCTCTGATTTATTACTTGGAAGGTTTTAGACAAGTTTTATTGCACGTTTGCATAAAGGGTGGGAGAGCCGCATTTTAAATAATTATGGGCCAATTGTATTATTATCTGGAAGACAATCAGGCTGGACCTTTGGAGAGATCAAAGGATTCAGGGGTAGGGAACCTTTGGCCCTCCAGCTGTGGTGGACTTCAACTCCCACAATTCCTTGAGGCTCGGCATTGGGCCAAGGTAAGCCTTTGGGGCGAATGCCGAGCCTCAAGGAATTGTGGGAGTTGAAGTCCACCACAGCTGGAGGGCCAAAGGGTCCCTACCCCTGGATGCCATGAACACTTGGTGTGGCCTGCCCCCTCCTGGCTGTTTGAGGCATCGACACGACTCCAGGAGAACAATTGGGGCCCGTCCTGACATGACAGAGTACTATTAGGGGCGTACAAAACTCCTTGCGTTAGTAGGTGTCTTGTGGCCAAATCTGGCAGCAATTCGTCCAGCAGATTTTGATGTCACTCAAAATGAACAGTGTGTGTGTGTATAATGTGTGTGTGTGTAATGTATAATGTATATAATGTGTATAACCTCAGCAGACTGAAAGCCAAAACCAAGGTTACAACATCTGTTATAGAACTCCAGTACAGTATGCTGATGACAACGTCATCTGTGCGCATTCAGAAGACCTACAAGCCACTCGCAGAAGCATACGAGAAGCTCGGCCTGTCACTGAACATCGAGAAAGCCAAAGTGCTCTTTCAGCAAAAGATTACGCCTGAGAGTGGAGGGAGTAAAATACAAATTAGGTATTCTCACAGACACCGTGGGAAGACCTTGAGGTCCAAGTGTGTTCGGCATGATGTCATGGGTGTTATGACGGACTTAATTTAAGGAGTTTGGCTCCAAGTCTCTCAGAGGAGACAATGTTGCTAAAGGATGGTTTTCCTGTCTCGGCTCTCAAGTTCACGATTCAAGTTTTGGTTCATATCTTTGTTCTTGGAAGGGTTTTGCCTTGGAAGAAGCTCCTGTTTTCTAGTTTATGGAATCATGTTTGCATAACTGCTGTGGGTTCTGGTTCTCTTGATTTTATGTACTTTGCCATTTCTGAATTATAGCTATTTTGTATTTTCTATTCTACTGATCCTTTTGGAATTGCCCTTTTTTCCTTTTGTTGCTTTCATAAACAACAAATTGTAATATGTTCTGCAGTTGATGGCGGTTGGTGATGGAAGGGTTAATGTAACTCTAAGCCCTAGAGGGTTTAATAATCTGTAAGAAAGAGTTCATGGGTAAAAGCAATTAAGGGTGGACGTATGCAAGAGATAGGTTGCAGCTCTGGATGTAAGGAGCTAGCCTTGGAAATGATCTTCGGGAGAAAAGTATTATCATATTTTGGTGGTGGATGCTGCTGGCTTTTCCCCCAGGTCTGTTGGATTTTCGGTATCTTGACCTGTCTCCTGTAATCTTAGAACCCTGGAACCTTGAATCTTTGGACTGGCTTTTGACTACGGTATAGACTCTTGATCCCTGGACTTTGTTTATTGAACTCTCAGCGTTTGACCACTGGACTGGAGCCTTTGACTATGGTGTAGCTTTTGCTGTCAGTTTTTGTTTATTCTGTGGCTGAGTGCTAACTTTGTGTTTTATATTTTGGTCTATTAAAACAGCCAGGAAGTAAGTGCTGTTTTAATTCAACTGTTTTATATCAAACTGCGAGTTTGGTTCATCTCTACCTAAATAAGGCAGAGCCCTGGCAAGATGACACAAACATTTCTACATACTATTACTGGACTCTGGTGTGGTGCTGAGCGAGAAGATGTTTCAGTGCTAGAGTGCAATACCTGGCAGACAGACTTTTGGGGACACCTCCTTTCCGCCTTGGTAACATTTTGCAAATTATGTTCGGCAGCAAAAACTTTTGGGGCTTTCAAAATTGAGGTATGTATTCGATTTGAGGGTGCAGTAGACTCAAGTCAATACGTTCCTTCTGGGAGGGGGCGCACGGAGCAAGGAAGGGATCAGCCTTGGAAAGAAGAATGCTCTGCAGCCTTTTTATTATGTAATATATTACACAGAGACACGACATCGCTGGCCCTAACATGCTCCAAAGAAAGGTTACAGCCTCGGAGGCAGAAGGGGGTGCGAGGGCAACGAGGGGCACACCGCTCCGCTCTGCAGCACTTGCCTGGGCCGCCCACGGTGAGGGGCAGGAGAGAGACCCCTCGGCCCACCCACCCCTTTCTCTCGCCCCATTCATTCCTCCTGTTAATAATGGGGAAAGGAAGGGACCCTAAGGTCCGGAGGCTGGCCAAAGGGCCCGAGCATGACCTCTCGACCCTGAGTGACTACTGCCCCTGGTCAAGGGCCCCGGAGAGGCAGGCAATGCTCACGCGCTCTGCATCTGCAACTTCAAAGGGGGGGGGCTTCTCCTGCCTTTCCCTCCAATGGCTACAAAGCATCACCCAAAAGGAAAGGGAAGCGTCTCCGCTGGGAAAGGGTCAAAATAAGAAACGGGGTGATGACCGTTCTATTGGGAGGGAGGGCACAGGAGGGGCCGGCACATTCGCCCGAATATAGACCTTGAGAAATGTAATGGGGGGGGGGGATTTGGACCCAAGAAAACCATCAGCAACCTGCCCCCTAAGGAAGCTTACTACTAAGTCCATTCGCTGCCAGAGAAAAAGGTCAAAGGGCATGATGGGGTTCATGGGTGACCCCTCCCTCACCCCTAGGGACCCCTCCCCACAAAGTCTCTGAGTCCAACRCRGAGGGAGGGAGGGGGGAGGAGGGGGCCCRCTGCCCAAATTGGMGCCCCTTTCTGGAAGGGGACACAGGGTTTTCTTCCCSTAGTGCAAGTCTTTGGCCGCCCGGTGGGTTGGTCAGTCAGGTCCGGCGGTGGCCGCTGTGCCCGTTGGCGGCGGGGAGGGGGACGGTGGGAATCCGCTGGCCACTGCCCACCCGGAGGCCCTCCTCAGTACAGCCGCTTCTCGTAACTGCAGGACAGCGGAAATATTAGGGGGGGGGGCAGAGAAAGAAAATAGTGTCACGGGTCAGTATCCCCTCGCTCGGCCGGTCAGCTTCGAGACCCTGGGAGGATTTTGCAAAGAGGTTATCACACAATGATTTCTGCTACTAGGATATCAATGTCGCTTCCTAATGGGTTCTATCATAAAATACATGGGGAAAGAGTAGCCCCCACCCTCACATCCACCCACCCACCCACCCACGACCCTCTCATCTTTTAGGAAAGACCTGAAAACCTTCCTGTGTGGGCTAACAGAAGCCTACTGTTGTAGCTGAGATGTTCCCTGATGATGAGGATGATGGAATTCAGATTCCTGGCTCTTTTTCTGGGCCTCAGATCTCTGGGCCTGCTTCTAGGTCTTTTTCTGAGGCTCCCACAGACAGTAGAGAGTCAACCACACAGCGGTTCTCAGAAGAAAAGAATTTTAACGAAGGAGATAGCGAACAAGTGGGGAGGCTTTTGTCTCCTTCCCACGCTGATACTGAAAGTGCAGAAAGCCTTGATAGTGACCTGACCCGGCAGGCTCGTCTTGATTTGCGGGTCAGGCGGAGTTCTCGCCTGGCCAGCAGACGAGAAGCCAGCTCGGGCCAAGGTCATTGCAATGCTTTCATGTTGGTGAGAGCATAATGTTTTCATGTTAGAAAGGTATTTAGGCTTCTTGCGAACTAAGGGAAAGTGTCAGTTCAACATAGCTTATTAGCCTGGAAGCCCCATGGAATAATCTCAGCTGGAAAGCAGCACGCTTGGGATTTCTTGCATTGTGATTCTTGGGGCAATTGTTTTATTGCTTGTATCATGGACTCTGGTTTGAACTTTGCCTATAAGGTTGTGCCTCTTGTTTGTACCTGAAGATCTTTGGAACTATATTCTGCATTTACCCTAAATCTTTGGAACTTTGCAATGCTTATTCTTTATTTTGACTTGGATTTTTTCCTCAATAAATTATAGAAACTACAGCTCTTGTGTGGTGGTGTTTGGAAGCAAGGTGAAACTTACTCTGAGTTGCAACACCTACGAGCTGAACTGTAATCATATCTTATCTTCATATTTTATTTATTTAAATATTAATAATAACAATACAGAGTTCCCTCGCTACTTCGCGGTTCGCTTTTCGCGGATTCGCTGTTTCGCGTTTTTAAAAAATATCAATTTAAGTAGTGAGGGAACACTGTAAAGGCAAAATAAGTAGCGGCGGAGGTGTTGCTGGGTGTCAAGAGGCCCAGGCGGTGACGAGGAGGAGGAAGGGGAAGGTAAAGAGGGCAAGGAGTGGAGAAGAGCCATCTCTTCACCCTCTTTACCTTCCTCTTCCTCCTCCTTGTTGCTGTCTGTGCCTCTCGCCGCCGCTTGGGCCCCGTAAGTAGCGGCGGAGGTGTTGCTGGGTGTCAAGAGGCCCAGGCGGTGACGAGGAGGAGGAAGGGGAAGGTAAAGAGGGCAAGGAGTGGAGAAGAGCCATCTCTTCACCCTCTTTACCTTCCTCTTCCTCCTCTTTGTTGCTGCCTGGGCCTCTCGCCGCCGCTTGGGCCCCGGGATTGAGGAGGCGGAGGCGGATGCCCAAGCGGCGGCGAGAGGCCCAGGTGGTGACGAGGAGGAGGAAGAGGAAGGTAAAGAGGGCGAGGAGGGAAGAGGAGTCCCTACATCATGGAATTTCAATCATCGCGGGGGGGGGGGGGTGTCCTGGAACGTAACCCCCGCATAAGTGAGGGACCACTGTGTTAATAAGTGGCTGCCGGTCCACTTCTGTTCACAATCCAAAGTGCTGGTCTTGGCCTATAAAGCTCTATACCAGCGGTTCTCAACCTGGGGGTCATGACCCCCAAGGGGGTCGTTTGACCAATTCAGAGGGGTTGCGAGGCTGCCTCCTTTGGCCCCGCCCCCAAGTCTTTGGCCCACCCCCCCAAGGCTTTGGGCGAGGCCAGGCCTCACGTGAAGGAGCCCTCACCTGCCTCGCACTCTCACTGGCCAGCAAGGGCACGGGTTCACTCGAGCGAGGCCTGACCTTGCGCAAAGCCTGCCTCACTGCTTTGCACTGTCGAAAATAATTTTATGGTTGGGGGTCACGACAACATGAGGAACCATATTTAGGGGCCACAGTGTTAGAAAGGTTGAGAACCACTGCTCTACACAGTTCTGGCCCAGCTTACCTGTCCGAATGTATCTCCCTCCATATCCCACCTCTTAGCTTATGATTGTCCGGGGAGGCCCTGCTCTTGGTCCCACCAGCTTATTTGTCTGAATGTATCTCCCTGTACATCCCACCTCGTAGCTTATGATCATCCGGGGAGCCCCTACTCTCGGTCCCGCCAGCTTACTTGTCTGAACATATCTCCCTCTACATCCCACTTCGTAGCTTATGATCGTTCAGGGAGGCCCTGTTCTCGGTCCTGCCAGCTTGTTTGTCCAAACGTATCTCCCTCTACATCCCACCTCGTAGCTTATGATCGTATGGGGAGGCCCTGATCTCGGTCCCGCCAGCTTACTTGTCGCAACGTATCTCCCTCTACATCCCACCTCGTAACTTATGATCATATGGGGAGGCCCTGTTCTCGATCCCGCCAGCTTACTTGTCCAAATGTATCTCCCTCTATATCCCACCTTGTAGCTTACAATCGTCCGGGGAGGTCCTGCTCTCGGTCCCACCACCTTGTCTGAATGTATCTCCCTCTACATCTCACCTCGTAGCTTATGATCATCCAGGAGGCCCTGCTCTCGGTCCCACCAGCTTACTTGTCTCAACGTTCCTCCCTCTAAATCCCACCTCGTAGCTTATGATTGTCCGGGGAGGCCCTGCTCTCGGTCCTGCCAGCTTACTTGTCAGAACGTATCTCCCTCTACATCCCACCTCTTAGCTTATGATTGTCCGGGGAGGCCCTGCTCTCAGTCCCGCCAGCTTACTTGTCGGAATGTATCTCCCTCTACATCCCACCTCGTAGCTTATGATCGTATGGGGAGGCCCTGATCTCGGTCCCGCCAGCTTACTTGTCTGAACGTATCTCCCTCTACATCCCACCTCTTAGCTTATGATTGTCCGGAGAGGCCCTGTTCTTGGTCCCACCAGCTTACTTGTCTCAACGTTCCTCCCTCTAAATCCCACCTCGTAGCTTATGATTGTCCGGGGAGGCCCTGCTCTCGGTCCTGCCAGCTTACTTGTCAGAACGTATCTCCCTCTACATCCCACCTCTTAGCTTATGATTGTCCGGGGAGGCCCTGTTCTTGGTCCCACCAGCTTACTTGTCTCAACGTTCCTCCCTCTAAATCCCACCTCGTAGCTTATGATTGTCCGGGGAGGCCCTGCTCTCGGTCCTGCCAGCTTACTTGTCAGAACGTATCTCCCTCTACATCCCACCTCTTAGCTTATGATTGTCCGGGGAGGCCCTGTTCTTGGTCCCGCCAGCTTACTTTTTCCGAACGTATCTCCCTCTACATTGCACCCCAGCCTCGCAAGTGCACTTGGCGGGGACGAGGGACAGGGCCTTCACAGCGGTGGCCCCACGCCTGTGGGACTCCCTCCCTAGCAAAGGAGGTCGGCTTTTTCCCTCCTTTCTTTTAGGAAGAGGATTAAATCATGGTTCTGGGACCAGGCCTTTTGACAGCAAGTATGACAGCAACTTGGATGTTGAACCAGATGGAAATTGGCTATATGGTTGACAATGTTTTTAACGTGTTTCTAACTTAATGTTTTATTTACTGTTTTAAATTGTTGTTCATTGTGTTTATATTTGTATTACATTGAGGCTTTGAATTATGACTGGTTTATAAGCCGCCCTGAGTCCCCCCTCGGGATAAAAATATTGGTAATAAATAAATAAATAAATAAATAAATAAACAAACAAACATCCGCAATGAACAAAACTACACCAATAGACTACTATGCAAAAACACAAGTATCCAGTTATCAAGACCATTTGTGCAAGGCAAGGAGAAGGACCTGGGGGCTCAGTGAGGAGTGGGCTTGCACAAAGGGGTGGGGGGGAGAACAAGAAAATGGGGAGGTGGACTAGATGACCTCTGGGTGCCCCTTCCACAATAAGGCCTCTATGTCTCCTTCCTTGTCTTTTACGCTCTTGCAGTCCCATAATGGACACCCAAAGATAGAAAGGCAGAGCGGGAGGGATACTTGAGATGAAGTTCCTGCACTGAGAAGAAAGGTGGACTAGATGGCCTCTGGGTGCCCCTCCACAACAAGGCCTCTGTGTCCTTGTCCTTCCACTTTACATGTCTGCAGACCCACAGTGGACACCCAGAGATAACAAGATAGTGTTGCAGGAAAGCTTGAGCAGAAGGGTGGACTAGATGGCCTCTGGGTACCCCTTCCACAACAAGGCCTTAATGTCTCCTTCCTTGCATTTTACTCTCTTGCAGTCCCACAATGGACACTCAGTGGGATAGATACTTGAGATGAAGGTCCTGCACTGAGCAGAAGGGTGGACTAGATGGCCTCTGGGTGCCCCTTCCACATTGAGACATCGGGATCTCAATGTGGAAGGGGCACCCAGAGGCCATCTAGTCTACCCTTCAGCCCTTGCTATCTCTAGGTGTCCATTATGGATCTACAAGAGAGTAAAGTGCAAGGAAAGAGACATAGAGGCCTCATTGTGGAAGGGGCACCCAGAGCTCATCTAGTCCACCCTTCTGCTCAAGCTTTCCTCCAACACTGTCTCTGGGTGGGTCTGCAGACATGTAAAGTGGAAGGAAAGAGACACAGAGGCCGTGTTGTGGAGGGGGCACCCAGAGTCCATCTAGTCCACCCTTCTGCTCAGTGCAGGACCTTCATCTCAAGTATCTATCCCACTGGGTGTCCATTATGGGACTGCAAGAGAGGAAAATAGACACCCAGTGGGATAGATACTTGAGATGAAGGTCCTGCACTGAGAAGAAGGGTGGACTTAGATGGCCTCTGGGTGCCCCTTCCACATTGAGGCTTCGATGTCTCCTTCCTTGCATTTTACTCTCTTGTAGTCCCATAATGGACACCCAGTGGGATAGATACTTGAGATGAAGGTCCTGCAGACCCACAATGGACACCCAGAGATAGCAAGATAGTGTTGGAGGAAAGCTTGAGCAGAAGGGTGGACTAGATGGCCTCTGGGTGCCCCTTCCACAATAAGGCCTCTATGTCTCCTTCCTTGCATTTTACTCTCTTGCAGTCCCAGCAAGGCGGGGTGGGGGGGGGGGGTGTGTGTGCTTGGGCTGAAGGGTGGACTAGATGGCCTCTGGGTACCCCTTACCCAACGATGCCTCAATGCCTCCTTCCTTGCACTTCACTCTTGCAGAGCCATAATGGACACCCAGACATAGCAAGGCAGAGTGGGATAGCTACTTGAGATGAAGGTCCTGCACTGGGCAGAAAGGTGGACTAGATGGCCTCTGGGTGCCCCCTCCACAACACGGCGTTTGTGTCTCTGTCCTTCCACTTGACATGTCTACAAACCCACCCAGAGACAGTGTTGGAGGAAAGCTTGAGCAGAAGGGTGGACTAGATGGCCTTTGGGTGCCCCTTCCACTATGAGTCCTCGATGTCTCCTTCCTTGCACATTACTCTTTTGCAGTCCCATAATGGACACCCAGTGGGATAGATACTTGAGATGAAGGTCCTGCAGACCCACAATGGACACCCAGAGACAGCAAGATAGTGTTGGAGGAAAGCTTGAGCAGAAGGGTGGACTAGATGGCCTTTGGGTGCCCCTTCCACTATGAGTCCTCGATGTCTCCTTCCTTGCACATTACTCTTTTGCAGTCCCATAATGGACACCCAGTGGGATAGATACTTGAGATGACGGTCCTGCAGACCCACAATGGACACCCAGAGACAGCAAGATAGTGTTGGAGGAAAGCTTGAGCAGAAGGGTGGACTAGATGGCCTTGGGTGCCCCTTCCACTAGGAGTCCTCGATGTCTCCTTCCTTGCACTTTACTCTTTTGCAGTCCCATAATGGACACCCAGTGGGATAGATACTTGAGATGAAGGTCCTGCAGACCCACAATGGACACCCAGAGACAGCAAGATAGTGTTGGAGGAAAGCTTGAGCAGAAGGGTGGACTAGATGGCCTTTGGGTGCCCCTTCCACTATGAGTCCTCGATGTCTCCTTCCTTGCACTTTACTCTTTTGCAGTCCCATAATGGACACCCAGTGGGATAGATACTTGAGATGAAGGTCCTGCAGACCCACAATGGACACCCAGAGACAGCAAGATAGTGTTGGAGGAAAGCTTGAGCAGAAGGGTGGACTAGATGGCCTCTGGGTGCCCCTTCCACTAGGAGTCCTCGATGTCTCCTTCCTTGCACTTTACTCTTTTGCAGTCCCATAATGGACACCCAGTGGGATAGATACTTGAGATGAAGGTCCTGCAGACCCACAATGGACACCCAGAGACAGCAAGATAGTGTTGGAGGAAAGCTTGAGCAGAAGGGTGGACTAGATGGCCTTTGGGTGCCCCTTCCACTATGAGTCCTCGATGTCTCCTTCCTTGCACTTTACTCTCTTGCAGGCCCATAACGGACACCTGGAGATACCAAGGCATAGTGGGAGGGATGCTTGGGCTGGAGGGTGGGCTAGATGGCCTCTGGGTGCCCCTTCCTCATCCCCGTCCCTTTCTGCAGACCCAGAATGGACGCCCAAAGCTTACATTGCATAGTGAGACGCAGGGGTGAGAAGCAAGGTGGGGGGAGGGCAGAAGCCGTGGGGCGGCACATGGGGCCGGTGGTGGGGCGAGTGGGCGGGAAGGACGCAACGGGGGAGGACGGAAGAGGCTGGACCCGCACCCGGGACACGCAGCAGCGGGGAGAAGGAGTGGGAGGAAATCTGCGTGGACCCCCTTGGTTTACTTACATGGCAGAAACGTAAAGCTAGAGACAGGAAGGCCGAGGCAACGTGGGCAGGAGAGAGAGAGAAGGTTACAAGGTCAACGTGTTCCTCTCCAGGACCCAATAACACCGCCACCGCCAAGCCCACTCGCCAGCCCCTGACCCTTCCGTCCACCAAGCGGATGGTCAAGCAGCACTACGGCCAAGCGCCACCAGGTCACTACTAAGGCTACCACTGCGTCAGGTGTGCAGCTACAGGGGTGTGTGCAAGTGCGTAAATGGGGGCATTGCCCCTGCAAGGAAATCCCCCTTCAGCCCCCCAATTCCAGGCCATTAACTATCTACACTATGATTTGTGTATTGTTATGTTGTGTTTTGAGGCCTTGGCCTTTGTAAGCCGCATCAAGTCCTTTGGGAGATGCTAGCGGGGTACAGATAAAGTTAATAATAATGATAATAATAATTATAATAATATTAATTTGTGTTCCTGGGTTATAAATATCATTATTTCCTAATTGGTTCTATCATAAAAACATGGGGAAAATTGGTTAAACTGCAAAAAAGTTTGTCTTTGCAATACATCCTGCAGCACATTATATTAATATATTATTATAATATTATTATTGTATTATATTATTATAATTACATTATTTTATATAAAAATTATTAATGTTATTATTTCCTAATTGGAAATAATAATAATAATAATAATAATAATAATAACATTTATTATTTATTACTTTATTATTATTATTATTATTATTATTTTGTTGTGTCAGGAGCGACTTGAGAAAATATTATATTATGATTGTATTGCATTATTATAATTATATTATTATTATATAAAATTATTAATGTTATTATTTTCTAATTGGTTCTATCATAAAAACATGGGGAAAATTGGTTAAACTGCAAAAAGCTTTGTCTTTGCAATACATCCTGTAACACATTATATTATAATATTAATATTGTATTATATTATTATAATTACATAATTTAATATAAAATTATTAATGTTATTATTTCCTAATTGGTTCTATTATAATATATGAGAAAAGCTTGTTAAATTGCAAAAAGCTTTGTCTTTGCAGGACATCCTGCAGCACATTATATTATAATATTATTATTATAATTACATTATTTTATATAAAAATTATTAATGTTATTATTTCCTAATGGAAATAATAATAATAATTTTATTACTTATTTATTATTATTATTATTTTGTCATATCAGGAGCGACTTGAGAAAATATTATATCATGATTGTATTATATTATTATAATTATATTATTATTATTATATATAATTATTAATGTTATTTATTCCTAATTGGTTCTATCATAAAAACATGGGAAAAGTTGGTTAAACTGCAAAAAGCTTTGTCTTTGCAATACATCCTGCAGCACATTATGTTATTATATAATATTATGATTGTATTATATTATTATAATTACATTATTATATATAAATTTTTTTAATGTTATTATTTCCTGATTGGTTCTATCCTAAAATATGGGAAAAACTCGTTAAACTGCAAAAAGCTTTGTCTTTGCAGGACATCCTGCAGCACATTATATTATTATTATTATTATTATTATTATTATTATTATTATTATTATTATTTTGTCGTGTCAGAAGCGACTTGAGAAAATTTTATATTATGATTGTATTATCTTGTTATAATTACATTGTTATATATAAAATTCTTAATGTTATTATAACTGGTTAAACTGCAAAAAGCTTTGTCTTTGCAATACATCCTGCAACACATTATATTATTATATAATATTATGATTGTATTATAGTATTATAATTGTATTATATATATATAATCATTGTTATTATTTCCTAATTGATTCTATCTTAAAAACATGGGAAAAGTTGGTCGAACTGCAAAAAGCTTTGTCTTTGTAATATATCCTGCAGCACATTATATTATTATATAATATTAGTATAATATTATGATATTATTATAATATTATAATTACATTATTATATATATAAAATTATTAATGTTATTATTTCCTAATTGGTTCTATCACAAAATATGGGAAAAGCTTGTTAAACTGCAAAAAACTTTGTCTTTGCAATACATCTTGCAACACATTATTATTATTATATAATATTATGATTGTATTACATTATTATAATTACATTATTATATATATAAAATTATTAATGTTATTATTTCCTAATTGGTTCTATCACAAAATATGGGAAAAGCATGTTAAATTGCAAAAAGCTTTGTCTTTGCAGTATATCCTGCAGCACATTATTATTATTATTATTATTATTATTATTATTATTATTATGTCGTGTCAGGAGAGACTTGAGAAAATATTATATTATGATTGTATTATATTATTATAATTGTATTATTATTATATATAATTATTAATGTTATTATTTCCTAATTGTTTTTATCATAAAAACACGGGAAAAGCTGATTAAACTGCAAAAAGCTTTGTCTTTGAAATACATCCTGCAACACATTATATTATTATATAATATTATAATTATATTTATTACTAGCAGTCCGCTGCCGTGCGTTGCTGTGGCCCAGTCTGTGTATATGTGTTTTGTGTGTGTATATATGCATGTATATATTTGTGTATAGGTGTATATATGTGTGTTTACATATATACATATATATTTGATTTTGCGCATGCTTTGTAATGTAATTTTTGTATTTTTATGTCTTATTATTATTACATTTATTATTTTACTTTATTATTGTTATTATTACATTTCCACTATTTTACCCTGTGTATTTATGTTTGTATATATTTGTGTATATATGTGTATTTGCGTATGCATTGCAATGTAATTTTTATTTTTGGCTTTTTAAGTCCCTTCCGCTGTGTTGCTACTATTTTTATATATTATTATTGTTGTTGTTGTTGCTATCTCTTCCAGCTCTAGGATTTATTATTGCTGTTGTGTTATTATATGACGACGATGATAACAATGATGATGATGATGAAGGGTTCTTCTAACTCTAGGATTTAATGTTGTTGTTGTACATCATCATCATCATCGTCATTTGGGTCTCTTCCAGTTCTATGATTTGTTGTTGCTGTCATTATTGTCGTTGTTGTTGTTATTATTATTATTTTTATGAGTGCTGGTCACTCGTTGGCCTGAGAGGTGTCTTGTGTCCAAATTTGGTGTCAATTCATTCAATGGTTTTTGAGTTATGTTAATCCCACAAACGAACATTACATTTTTATTTATATAGATTAAGCAGAGGCTGGATAGCCATCTGTCGGGAGGGCTTTGATAGTGCTTTCCCAGCATGACAGAAGGGGTGGGACTGGATGGCCTTGGCTTCCAGCTCTAGGATTCATTCCTGCTGCTGCTGCTGCTTTTCTTCTTTTTATTATTGTTGTTGTTATTATTATTATTATAATCTCTTCCAGCTCTAGGATTCATTATTGGTGTTGTATTATTATATGATGATGATGACGACAACAATAACAGCAACAACAAATCCTAGAACTGGAAGAGACCCTAATAATAATAATAATAATAATAATAATAATAATAATAATAATGTACAACAACAAAAATGAATCCTAGAGCTAGAAGAGACCTTCATCATCGTCATCGTCATCATCATCATCACCTCTTTCAGTTCTAGGATTTATTATTATATGATGACGATAAAGATGATGAAGGTCTCTTCTAGCTCTAGGATTCATTTTTGTTGTTGTACATTATTATTATTATTATTATTATTATTATTATTATTATTATTATTATTATTATTATTAGGGTCTCTTCCAGTTCTAGGATTCGTTGTTGCTGTTATTGTTGTCATTGTTGTTGTTATTGTTATTATTAATTAAAATTATATTATTGTTGTTATTAGGGTATCTTCCAGCTATAGGATTGGTTCTTGTGGGTTTTTCCGGGCTATATGGCCATGGTCCAGAGGCATTCTCTCCTGATGTTTCGCCTGCATCTGTGGCAAGCATCCTCAGAGGTGGTGAGGTCTGTTGGAACGAGGAAAAAGGGTTTATATATCTGTGGAATGACTGGGGTGGGGATTCATTGTTGCTGTTGTATTATTATATTGTTGTTGTTGTTGTTAAGATCTCTTCCAGCTCTAGGACTTATTGTTGCTGTTATTGTACTATTATTATTTGTATATTGTTGTTGTTGTTGTTGTTGCTATCTCTTCCAGCTCTAGGATTTATTATTGCTGTTGTGTTATTATATGATGACGATGATAACAATGATGATGAAGGGCTCTCCTAACTCTAGGATTTAATGTTGTTGTACATCATCATCATCATCATTTGGGTCTCTTCCAGTCCTACGATTTGTTGTTGCTGTTATTATTGTCGTTGTTATTGTTGTTGCTATGTCTTCCAGCTCAAGGATTCATTATTGCTGTTGTGTTATTATATGATGACGATGATAACAATGATGATGATGATGATGAAGAACTCTCCTAACTCTAGGATTTAATATTGTTATTGTACATCATCATCATTTGCGTCTGTTCCAGTTCTACGATTTGTTGTTGCTGTTATTATTGTTGTTGTTGTTGTTGCTGCTATTTTTATATATTATTATTGTTGTTGTTGTTGCTGCTATTTTTATATATTATTGTTGTTGTTGTTGTTGCTATCTCTTCCAGCTCTAGGATTTATTATTGCTGTTGTGTTATTATATGACGACGATGATAACAATGATGATGATGATGAAGGGTTCTTCTAACTCTAGGATTTAACGTTGTTGTTGTACATCATCATCATTTGCATCTTCCAGTTCTACGATTTGTTGTTGCTGTTATTATTGTCGTTGTTATTGCTATTTTTATATATTGTTGTTGTTGTTGTTGTTGTTGTTGCTATCTCTTCCAGCTCTAGGATTTATTATTGCTGTTGTGTTATTATATGACGACGATGATAACAATGATGATGATGATGAAGGGTTCTTCTAACTCTAGGATTTAATGTTGTTGTTGTACATCATCATCATCATCGTCATTTGGGTCTCTTCCAGTTCTATGATTTGTTGTTGCTGTCATTATTGTCGTTGTTGTTGTTATTATTATTATTTTTATGAGTGCTGGTCACTCGTTGGCCTGAGAGGTGTCTTGTGTCCAAATTTGGTGTCAATTCATTCAATGGTTTTTGAGTTATGTTAATCCCACAAACGAACATTACATTTTTATTTATATAGATTAAGCAGAGGCTGGATAGCCATCTGTCGGGAGGGCTTTGATAGTGCTTTCCCAGCATGACAGAAGGGGTGGGACTGGATGGCCTTGGCTTCCAGCTCTAGGATTCATTCCTGCTGCTGCTGCTGCTTTTCTTCTTTTTATTATTGTTGTTGTTATTATTATTATTATAATCTCTTCCAGCTCTAGGATTCATTATTGGTGTTGTATTATTATATGATGATGATGACGACAACAATAACAGCAACAACAAATCCTAGAACTGGAAGAGACCCTAATAATAATAATAATAATAATAATAATAATAATAATAATAATGTACAACAACAAAAATGAATCCTAGAGCTAGAAGAGACCTTCATCATCGTCATCGTCATCATCATCATCACCTCTTTCAGTTCTAGGATTTATTATTATATGATGACGATAAAGATGATGAAGGTCTCTTCTAGCTCTAGGATTCATTTTTGTTGTTGTACATTATTATTATTATTATTATTATTATTATTATTATTATTATTATTATTAGGGTCTCTTCCAGTTCTAGGATTCGTTGTTGCTGTTATTGTTGTCATTGTTGTTGTTATTGTTATTATTAATTAAAATTATATTATTGTTGTTATTAGGGTATCTTCCAGCTATAGGATTGGTTCTTGTGGGTTTTTCCGGGCTATATGGCCATGGTCCAGAGGCATTCTCTCCTGATGTTTCGCCTGCATCTGTGGCAAGCATCCTCAGAGGTGGTGAGGTCTGTTGGAACGAGGAAAAAGGGTTTATATATCTGTGGAATGACTGGGGTGGGGATTCATTGTTGCTGTTGTATTATTATATTGTTGTTGTTGTTGTTATTAAGATCTCTTCCAGCTCTAGGACTTATTGTTGCTGTTATTGTACTATTATTATTTGTATATTGTTGTTGTTGTTGTTGTTGCTATCTCTTCCAGCTCTAGGATTGCTATCTCTTCCAGCTCTAGGATTTATTATTGCTGTTGTGTTATTATATGACGACGATGATAACAATGATGATGATGATGAAGGGTTCTTCTAACTCTAGGATTTAATGTTGTTGTTGTACATCATCATCATCATCGTCATTTGGGTCTCTTCCAGTTCTATGATTTGTTGTTGCTGTCATTATTGTCGTTGTTGTTGTTATTATTATTATTAGGGTCTCTTCCAGCTCGAGGGATGATGATGATGATGATTAGGGTCTCTTCCAGCTCGAGGGTTCATTGTTTATTATTATTATTATTATTATTATTATTATTATTATTATTACTACTATTAGGGTCTTTTCCAGCTCGAGGGTTCATGATATTATTATTATTATTATTATTATTATTATTATTATTATTACTAGGGTCTCTTCCAGCTCGAGGGTTCATGATATTATTATTATTATTATTATTATTATTATTATTATTATTATTATTATTATTATTACTAGGGTCTCTTCCAGCTCGAGGGTTCATTGTTGCTGTCCTTATGGAGATTATTATTACTCCTACTAACAAGAGTAAACACCCTTCAGCTGGGTGGTCTTCGTCTTCTTAGTGACGTCAGAAGGGCTGGGTGGCCAAGAAATGGGTGGGTGGTCTTGAGGGCAGGAAGGAAGGAATTAAGGAAGGGACAAGAGGAGGAGAGGTCTTCTGGGGCAAGGGGGGGCATTTTGGGAAGCAGGGGGGTGGGGTGGGAGGAGCTATGATGGGGGCATGGACGAGGACACACTTACGAATGGAGCCCGTGGACGCCCCCCTCGATCTGGGCCGACATCGTCCGCTTCTCGAACTTCAGCTCCCCCGAGTACATCATGGACCTGGAGAGAGAGAGAGAGACACAGGCACCAAAGTTGGGGGGCTTTTCCTCTGCGGCGCCCCAAAACCGCCCACAAAAGGAGGCCGTGCTCAGAGCCACGCCATTGTATTGTTAGTAAACACTGACGAACCCTTGCACGAGACACTCGTGGTCACACCTTCTGGGGTTGCAGAATGCATAGGTGGCACAGGCCATGTATTGGAAAGCCAATGCCTTTACCAATTGCATATTGATAGGTTGTCAAAGGTTTCCAGGGCTGGAATTGCTATGTTGTTGTGAGTTTTCCAGGCTGTCTGGCCCTGTTCCAGTAGCATTCTTTCCTGATGTTTCTTCTGAATCTGTGGCTAATGGCATCTTCAGGCAGCGTGAAAAACTCACAGCAACCCTGTGTATTGATTCTTATGTTGCTAATCTATATAAATAAAAATGTAATGATCGTTTGTGGGATGAACAGAACTCAGAAACCACAGGACGAATTGACACCAGATTTAGACACAAGACACCTCTCAGGCCAACGAGTGACCATCACTCATCAAAACACGGAAAAACACAGCAGAAGGCAAAAAAATATATTAAAATACATGCGCAAAACCACATAGATAGGCAAACACACATACACACACACACACACACACAAAACACATACACAGAAAGGGGGAAGGAAGAAGGAGGGGAAAGAAAGAAGGAAAGAAAAAAGGGTAGAGAAGGAAGGAGAGAAAGAAGGAGGAAGGAGAAGGAAGGAAGGAAGGAGAGAAGGAAGAAGGAAGAAAGAAGGGTAGAGAAGGAAGTAGAAGAAGGAGGGGAGAAAGAGGGAGAGAAAGAAAGGGAAAGAGAGAAGGAAGAAAGAAGGTAGAGAAGGAAGGAAGGAGAGAGAGAGAAAGGAAGGAAAGAAGAAGGGTAGAGAAGGAAGTAGAGAAGGAGGGAGAGAAGAGAAAGGGGAGGGAAGGAGAGAAGGAAGGAAGAAGGAAGGAAGGGAAGGAAGAAGGAAGGGAGAAGGAAAGAAAGGAAGAAGGAAGGGGGAGAAAGAGGGAAGAGAAAGAAAGGAGAGGGAAAGAAGGAAGGAAGGAAGGAAAGAAGGAAGGAAGGAAGGAGGAAGAAGAGAGAGGGAAGGAGAAGAGGAAGAGAGAGAGAAGGAGGGAAGAAAGAGAAGAAGGAGAAAGGAGAGAAGGAGGGGGAGAAGAAGGGAGAGAAGAGAAAAGGAGGGAGGGAAAGAAGAAAGAAGGAAGGAAGAAGGAAGGAAGGAAAGGAAGGAAGGAAGGAAGGAAGGAAGGAAGGAAGGAAAGAAGGGGAGAGGGAAGGAGGGAAAGAAAGTAGAGAAGGAAGAAAGGAGAGAAGGAGGGGGAGAAAGAGGGAGAGAAGAGAAAGGAGGAGGGAGGGAAAGAAGGAAGGAAGGAAGGAAGGAAGGAAGGAAGGAAAGAAGGTTAGAGAGGGAAGGAGGGAAGGAGAGAGAGAAGGAGGGAAAGAAAGTAGAGAAGGAAGAAAGGAGAGAAGGAGGGGGAGAAAGAGGGAGAGAAGAGAAAGGAGGAGGGAGGGAGGAGAAGGAAGGAAGGAAGGAAGGAAGGAAGGAAGGAAGGAAGGAAGGAAGGAAGGAAGGAAGGAAGGAAAGAAGGTTAGAGAGGGAAGGAGGGAAGGAGAGAGAGAAGGAGGGAAAGAAAGTAGAGAAGGAAGAAAGGAGAGAAGGAGGGGGAGAAAGAGGGAGAGAAGAGAAAGGAGGAGGGAGGGAAAGAAGGAAGGAAGGAAGGAAGGAAGGAAGGAAGGAAGGAAAGAAGGTTAGAGAGGGAAGGAGGGAAGGAGAGAGAGAAGGAGGGAAAGAAAGTAGAGAAGGAAGAAAGGAGAGAAGGAGGGGGAGAAAGAGGGAGAGAAGAGAAAGGAGGAGGGAGGGAAAGAAGGAAGGAAGGAAGGAAGGAAGGAAGGAAGGAAGGAAAGAAGGTTAGAGAGGGAAGGAGAGAGAGAAGGAGGGAAAGAAAGTAGAGAAGGAAGAAAGGAGAGAAGGAGGGGGAGAAAGAGGGAGAGAAGAGAAAGGAGGAGGGAGGGAGAAGGAAGGAAGGAAGGAAGGAAGGAAGGAAGGAAGGAAGGAAGGAAAGAAGGTTAGAGAGGGAAGGAGGGAAGGAGAGAGAGAAGGAGGGAAAGAAAGTAGAGAAGGAAGAAAGGAGAGAAGGAGGGGGAGAAAGAGGGAGAGAAGAGAAAGGAGGAGGGAGGGAAAGAAGGAAGGAAGGAAGGAAGGAAGGAAGGAAGGAAGGAAGGAAGGAAGGAAGGAAGGAAAGAAGGTTAGAGAGGGAAGGAGAGAGAGAAGGAGGGAAAGAAAGTAGAGAAGGAAGAAAGGAGAGAAGGAGGGGGAGAAAGAGGGAGAGAAGAGAAAGGAGGAGGGAGGGAAAGAAGGAAGGAAGGAAGGAAGGAAGGAAGGAAGGAAGGAAGGAAGGAAGGAAGGAAGGAAAGAAGGTTAGAGAGGGAAGGAGGGAAGGAGAGAGAGAAGGAGGGAAAGAAAGTAGAGAAGGAAGAAAGGAGAGAAGGAGGGGGAGAAAGAGGGAGAGAAGAGAAAGGAGGAGGGAGGGAAAAGGAAGGAAGGAAGGAAGGAAGGAAGGAAGGAAGGAAGGAAGGAAGGAAGGAAGGAAGGAAAGAAGGTTAGAGAGGGAAGGAGGGAAGGAGAGAGAGAAGGAGGGAAAGAAAGTAGAGAAGGAAGAAAGGAGAGAAGGAGGGGGAGAAAGAGGGAGAGAAGAGAAAGGAGGAGGGAGGAAAGAAGGAAGGAAGGAAGGAAGGAAGGAGAGGAAGGAGGGAAAGGTAGAGAAGGAAGGAAGGAGAAGGAAATAAAAAAGTGAAAGGAAGGAAGGAGAGAAGGAACAAAGAAAGAGGGAGGGAGGGAAGGAAGGAAGAGACAAGGAAGGATGGAACCAAAGAGCAAAGGAAGTGAGAAAAGAAACAGGTAGAGAAGGAAGAAAGAAGAAGGGAAAGAAAAAGAGGGCAGGAAGGAAGGGGGGAGCCAAGGAAGGAGAGAAGGAACGAAAGAATAGTGGGAGAGGGCCTTGCAAATTCAAATAGTGGGAGAGGGCCTTGCAAATCTCATCCACGTCCAAAGCGTGGGATTCTTTCCAGGGAAGAGGAAGGCGCGCAATGCAAACGAGCTCCCTTCCTTCCTTCCTTCCTTGCTTTCATTCATCCATTCATTATTCCTCCCACGGGGACCCACTCCTCTCCTTGGATGAGTCACACCACGAAAGTGACGTCAAGCCAAGCGTGGGGACGACAGGCAAGAAAAAGGCTGTGTACCCCCCCCCCCCATTTCGCCCATGCATTCCCACCCCCGCGTATATATAGATCTGCCTTCTCTTCCATCTCTAAGCAAAAAAAACTGATTCCAAAGCAAGATTTCCAGCCAGTTATCATGTCTGAATAGCGTGCAAAATTGGCCTTTCCCCGGATGGAGGAAGGACACAGGGGCATAGAGTTCATCCCTTGTTTACTCATTGAGAATACTTCATATCCTCCTAGACTGGCACCTCAGGTCATCATCTTATATCTATATATATAAAAATGCTCATGTCGTAATGAGTACCTTAAAAACAAAAGAACCAATGAACGAAATCACACCAAATTTGGCAACAAAACGTCTCACTACACAAGGAGTGATCATCACTTGAAAAAATATGATTTTGTCATTTGGGAGTTGTAGTTGCTGGGATTTATAGTTCACCTACAATCAAAGAGCATTCTGAACCCCACCAATGATGGAACTGAACCAAACATGGCATACAGGACTTCCATGGCCAACAGAACACACTGGAAGGGATTGGCGGCATTGACCTTGAGTCTGGGAGTTGTAGTTCACCTACATCCGGAGAGCACTGTGGACTCAAACAATGAAGGATCTGGACCAAACTTGGCACAAGCACTCAATACGCCCAGATATGAACACAGATGGAGTTTGGGGGAAATAGACCTTGACATTTGGGAGTTGTAGTTACTGGGATTTATAGTTCACCTACAATCAAAGAGCATTCTGAACTTCACCAAACCAAGGAATTGAACCAAACTTGGCACACAGAACTCCTACGACTAACAGAAAATACTGGAAGGGTTTGGTGGGCATTGACCTTGAGTTTGGGAGTTGTAGTTCATCTACATCCAGAGAGCGCTGTGGGCTCAAACAATGATGGATCTCGACCAAACTTGGCACAAATATTCCATATGCCCAAATATGTACACAGATGGAGTTTGGGGGAAATAGACCCTGACATTTGGGAGTTGTAGTTACTGGGATTTGTAGTTCACCTACAATCAAAGAGCATTCTGAACCTCACCAACGACAGAATTGGGCCAAACTTCCCGCACAGAACCCTCATACTTAAGGCCATCCAGTCCAACTCCCTTCACCAGGGCAAAAAAACATAATCAAAGCCCTCCTGACAAAGAGCCATCCAGCCATCAATCTAAATATATATGATTCACACACAGAGAGATATAGTATCATAGATCTGAAAGGGACCCCTAAAGAAGGACAATTCTATGTTCCACGATCCAGGGTAGGCAAACCAGACACTCTCCACATCGACACTGACAAAGAAACAGCAAGGAATACGGTTTACCCTCAAGCATAACGAAATTACATATATTAGAAACCAATACTTTCTCATTATTTTATTTTCCAGATCACCAGACTGGGACACACACACACACACACACACACACACACACGGGTTTGCGCATGCGTTGTAATGTAATTTTTGCTTTTTGGCTTTTTAAGTCTCTTCTGCTGTGTTTTCCAGTGTTTTTATGAGTGATGGTCACTCGTTGGCCTGACCGGTCTATTGTGTCCAGATTTGGCGTCAATTCGTCCTGTGGTTTTTGAGTTATGTTTACTCTGCAAACGAACATTACGTTTTTATTTGTCGAAGCGGTCATAAAACTTGGATGGATTGCCGCCATAAAGTAATAGGAGTTTTATTTACACTATCTATACAAAGACTAACACAGCACAAAGCAAGCGCGTCTGTTCCGGCAGAGACATCTCCGAAAGATAGCCATGGAAGTATCTTTTTTTTCAATTGAATTTACCTATTCCCTTAAAGTGTTTTTCTACTTGGCTGCTTTTACTTACCTTCAATAAAAAAGGACTGTTTTCCTACTCAACGTGTGGGGTTATTCCTGTTCTGGAGCACAACAGTCCATTAGAACTGCGTTTTCCAACCCATTTTGCACAACACGGTTACAACCAATGCATTCCTACCTAAGAGTGCATTACCTGTCTAACGGAAGAGTACTCCCACCCCCCCGAATACCTGTCTTTCCACTCACCGCAAGATGGAGAGGCTCTTTGCGCCAATGTCCTGGCAGCCGTGCTGGATGCCGGCGATCAGGTAGGGCACGAACTTCTGGATGGAGCCCTTGTCCTGGATGGACCCCGAGACCCCCTGCGCCACCTTCACCTTGTCCCCTTCGCTGCAAGGAGAGCGACACGTTGGGTGAGTGGGCTTATTAACAGAAGACCCTCCTCATAAATGCACAGCAGAGTAACTTATGAGCAGCAGCGTGACCCAGGACACCAGTGGACACCCAAAGTGATAAAAATGAACAAAAACACAGAGACCAATGTTCTCTCTTCCACAGAAGGCTTTTCCTGATAGCAAAATAATATGGTTGCACTATTTACAAGAACTAGGTTTCCATAATACAAAGAAACATCGTAGCTTTACATGCAGAAGCCTTCACATTGGAGCTTTCTCACACAACACTTCACTCACACAGAGGTTGATCTCACACTCCTCAAAAGACACTAGCTTTGGTCCATGATCTCACACAGAGGTTGATCTCACACTCCTCAAAAGACACTAGCTTTGGTCCACGATCTCACACAGAGGTTGATCTCACACTCCTCAAAAGACACTAGTTTTGGTCCACGATCTCACACACAGCGGTTGATCTCACACTCCTCAAAAGACAGTAGCTTTGGTCCACGATCTCTAATAGGCTTCGGCCTATTCACTCTCTTCAGACACTAGCTTTGTTATTTTTTTCAATTTAATACATTTTTTTATGTATTATACTATACATTTCCCCTTCTCTTATTTACATTCACCCTTGTGCTCCCCTTATCCAGGGCTATCTCTTCTTCTAAGGTTTTTAGGTTTTCCCCTGACATTAAGTCCAGTCGTGTCCGACTCTGGGGTGTCGGACATCTCCATTTCTAAGCCGAACAGCTGGTGTTGTATGTAGACATCTCCAAGGCCATGTGGCCACTGGCATGATTGCATGGGGCGCCGTTAAATTCCCACCAAAAGTTCAGTTCTTCATTTGGAGGTAAATGAAAATTACCTCCAAATTCTAGAAATTTTCTCCAAGTACTTTCACACAGAAGTTTACCTCACTCTCCTCAGGACGACACTAGATTTGGTACACTAACTCTTAACAGGCTTCAGCCTACTCATTCTCCTCAGGACAGCACTAGATATGGTACACTAACTCTAACAGGCTTCAGCCTACTCACTCTCCTCAGGATGACACTAGATTTGGTCCACTGAATAACAGGCTTCGGCCTACTAATTCTCCTCAGGATGACACTAGCTTTGGTCCACTGACTAACAGGCTTCGGTCTACTCACTCTCCTCAGGACGAAACTAGATTTGGTACACTAACTCTTAACAGGCTTTGGCCTACTCATTCTCCTCAGGACAGCACTAGATTTGGTACACTAACTCTAACAGGCTTCGGCCTACTCACTCTCCTCAAGATGACACTAGATTTGGTCCACTGACTAACAGGCTTCGGCCTACTAATTCTCCTCAGGACGACACTAGCTTTGGTCCACTGACTCTAACAGGTTTTGGCCTACTCACTCTCCTCAGCATGGCACTAGATTTGGTACGCTAACTCTAACAGGCTTCAGCCTACTCACTCTCCTCAGGACGGCACTAGATTTGGTACGCCAACTCTAACAGGCTTCGGCCTACCCATTCTCCTCAGGATGACACTAGCTTTGGCTCACTGACTGTAACAGGCTTTGGCCTACTCACTCTCCTCAGGATGGCACTAGATTTGCTACGCTAACTGTAACCGCCTTCGGCCTACTCACGCCCCTCAGGACAACTCTAGCTTTGGCCACTAACTCTAACAGGCTTCGGCCTACTCATTATCCTCAGGACGACGCAAGCTTTGCTCCACTGAGTCTAATAGGCTTCGGCCTACTAATTCTCCTCAGGACGACACTAGCTTTGGCCCACTGACTCTAACAGGTTTTGGCCTACTCACTCTCCTCAGCATGGCACTAGATTTGGTACGCTAACTCTAACAGGCTTCAGCCTACTCACTCTCCTCAGGACGGCACTAGATTTGGTACGCCAACTCTAACAGGCTTCGGCCTACCCATTCTCCTCAGGATGACACTAGCTTTGGCTCACTGACTGTAACAGGCTTTGGCCTACTCACTCTCCTCAGGATGGCACTAGATTTGGTACGCTAACTCTAACAGGCTTCGGCCTACTCACGCCCCTCAGGACAACACTAGCTTTGGCCCACTAACTCTAACAGGCTTCGGCCTACTCATTATCCTCAGGACGACGCAAGCTTTGCTCTACTGAGTCTAATAGGCTTCGGCCTACTAATTCTCCTCAGGACGACACTAGCTTTGGTCCACTGACTCTAACAGGCTTTGGCCTACTAATTCTCCTTAGGACAACACTAGCTTTGGTCCACTGACTCTAACAGGCTTCGGCCTACTAATTCTTCTCAGGGCAACACTAGCTTTTGGCTCACTGAGTCTAACAAGCTTTGGCCTACTAATTCTCCTCAGGACGACACTAGCTTTAGTCCACTGACTCTTGAACAGGTTTCGGCCTAATAATTATCCTCAGGATGACACTAGCTTTGGTCCACTGACTCTAACAGGCTTTGTCCTACCCATTCTCCTCAGGATGACACTAGCTTTGCCCCACTAACTATAACACGTTTCGGCCTACTCACTCTCCTCAGGATGGCACTAGATTTGGTATGCTAACTCTAACAGGCTTCGGCCTACTCACGCGCTTCAGAACAACACTAGCTTTGGCCCACTAACTATAACACGTTTCGGCCTAGTCACTTTCCTCAGGATGACATTAGCTTTGGCCCACTAACTCTAACAGGCGTCAGCCAGTAATTCTCCTCAGGACGACACTAGCTTTGGTCCACTGACTAACAGGCTTCGGCCTACTAATTCTCCTCAGGACGACACTAGCTTTGGTCCACTGAGTCTAACAGGCTTCGGCCTACTCACTCCCTTCAGGACAACACTAGCTTTGGCCCACTAACTCTAACAAGCTTCGGCCTATTAATTCTCCTCAGGACAACACTAGCTTTGGTCCACTGACTCTAACAGGCTTCGGCCTAATAATTCTCCTCAGGACAACACTAGCTTTGGTCCACTGACTCTAACAGGCTTCGGCCTAATAATTCTCCTCAGGACAACACTAGCTTTGGCCCACTGACTCTAACAGGCTTCGGCCTAATAATTCTCCTCAGGACAACACTAGCTTTGGCCCACTGACTCTAACAGGTTTTGGCCTACTCACTCCCCTCAGGATGGCACTAGATTTGGTACACTAACTCTAACAGGCTTCGGCCTACTCACTCTCCTCAGGACAACACTTGATTTTGTACACTAACTCTAACAGGCTTCGACCTACTAATTCTCCTCAGGACGACACTAGCTTTGGTCCACTGACTAACAGGCTTCGGCCTACTAATTCTCCTCAGGACGAACACTAGCTTTGGTCCACTGAGTCTAACAGGCTTCGGCCTACTCACTCCCTTCAGGACAACACTAGCTTTGGCCCACTAACTCTAACAAGCTTCGGCCTATTAATTCTCCTCAGGACAACACTAGCTTTGGTCCACTGACTCTAACAGGCTTCGGCCTAATAATTCTCCTCAGGACAACACTAGCTTTGGTCCACTGACTCTAACAGGCTTCGGCCTAATAATTCTCCTCAGGACAACACTAGCTTTGGCCCACTGACTCTAACAGGTTTTGGCCTACTCACTCCCCTCAGGATGGCACTAGATTTGGTACACTAACTCTAACAGGCTTCGGCCTACTCACTCTTCTCAGGACAACACTTGATTTTGTACACTAACTCTAACAGGCATCAGCCAGTAATTCTCCTCAGGACAACACTAGCTTTGGTCCACTGACTAACAGGCTTCGGCCTACTAATTCTCCTCAGGACGACACTAGCTTTGGTCCACTGAGTCTAACAGGCTTCGGCCTACTCACTCCCTTCAGGACAACACTAGCTTTGGTCCACTGACTCTAACAGGCTTCGGCCTAATAATTCTCCTCAGGACAACACTAGCTTTGGCCCACTGACTCTAACAGGTTTTGGCCTACTCACTCCCCTCAGGATGGCACTAGATTTGGTACACTAACTCTAACAGGCTTCGGCCTACTCACTCTCCTCAGGGCAACACTTGATTTTGTACACTAACTCTAACAGGCTTCGACCTACTAATTCTCCTCAGGACGACACTAGCTTTGGTCCACTGACTAACAGGCTTCGGCCTACTAATTCTCCTCAGGACGACACTAGCTTTGACCCAAGCTAGTAAATAATAAATAACACATTATGGGGCCTGGCAAGGTAAATATATTGCAAAACATTTTTGTTCCAAAAAAAATGCATTCTAAATGTTATGATTTGACCCTTGAGGATCTAATGGGGAGAAGCGAATGCATCCGGAGAGGCCCTGCTCGCGATCCCACCTGCGTCGCAGGCGCGTCTGGTGGGGACGAGGGACAGGGCCTTTTCTGTGGTGGCCCCTCGACTTTGGAACACCCTCCCCAAGGATAGTAGACAAGCCTCTACACTGGCAGTCTTCAGGAAGAGTTTGACAACCTGGTTGTTCCGGTGTGCCTTTCCAGAATAGGAAACTCCAGCAATATGTCCCAGAAGCACTTTACCAGAGATTTAAGATTGTCTGCACATTGCACTTACCCCAAAATCCTATATTCCACCTGTCATACTCAGTACTTTTTAACCTGTACCCATTACATTCGGCCAGCCCTAGTTTTATTGTGTCATGTTGTATTGTCTTATTGTTTACTGTTATTGCTTGATGTTTGACTTGCTTTATAATGCTATACGTATTGTTATGTTTGTTGTTTTTATTGAGGCCTTGGCCTTTGTAAGCCGCATCGAGTCCTTTGGGAGATGCTAGCGGGGTACAAATAAAGATAATAATAATAATAATAATAATAATAATAATAATAATAATAATAAAGCACCTCCTTTCCACCTGCTACTAAGGAGGCTGTCCAGGTCCTGAACCGGTGCTTGGCCGCTGTGACGGTCTGGATGAGGGCGAACAAATTGAAATTGAATCCAGACAAGACAGAGGTCCTCCTGGTCAGTCGCAAGGCCGAACAGGGCATAGGGTTACAGCCTGTGTTGGATGGAAGGGGCCGCACTCCCCCTGAAGACGCAGGTTCGCAGCTTGGGTGTGACCCTGGACTCATCGCTGAGCCTGGAACCCCAGGTTTCGGCGGTGACCAGGGGAGCATTTGCACAGCTAAAGCTTGTGCGCCAGCTGCGCCCGTACCTTGGGAAGTCTGACTTGGCCACGGTAGTCCACGCTCTGGTTACATCCCGTTTAGACTACTGCAACGCTCTCTACGTGGGGTTGCCTTTGAAAACAGCTCGGAAGCTCCAACTAGTCCAACGCTCGGCAGCCATGATTTTAACAGGAGCGGAGCGCAGGGAGCATACAACCCCCCTGTTGCGCCAACTCCACTGGCTACCGATCTGCTACCGGGCTGAATTCAAAGTGCTGGCGTTGGCCTTTAAAGCCCTAAACGGTTCCGGCCCAAGCTACCTATCTGACCGCATCTCTGCCTATGAACCCACCAGGACTTTGAGATCTTCCGGGGAGACCCTGCTCTCGATCCCGCCTGCTTCTCAAGCTCGGCTGGCGGGGACGAGAGATAGGGCCTTCTCGGTGGTGGCTCCTCGGCTGTGGAACGCCCTTCCTACGGACATTAGACTAGCACCATCTCTAATGGTATTCCGCAAAAAGGTGAAGACCTGGATGTTTGTGCAGGCGTTTGAGTAATTTAGTGCAATCTGGTAATGGAACATAGGAATGGAACAAGGGACGACGAACCTGGACTACGCTTGGATGATGAGAAGATTGGGTACGGTTGTTTTTTGTAATAATTGTGCATTGTAACTGCTTATTGGTAATTTATGGATAATGTGTTAAGTCAATTGTTATATGTTGTATGGAACCACTGCTGTTTCTACTGTTTTTACTGTTTGTGAACCGCCGTGAGTCGCCTTCGGGCTTGAGATACAGCGGTATAGAAGCAAAGTAAATAAAATAAAATAAATAAATAAGTCAATGAAAAAAGCACCCGATGGAAGCGGCCCAAAGGCCCCTCTTCAAACTCCACCTGGAAATGGTCAGTGCAAATGCTCTCTCCCTCTCTCCTGAAAACACCCTTCTACCTGTAACGAGTGGCCCACCTTGCAGGGGTGTGATCCACACATGCCTAACAACCCCCCCCCCGCCCCAAATCCTTTGCATGGAGGGTCCCTCCTGCAAAATCCGCGAGGCCCACCTGAAGTACCGCTTCTGGCTGCTGCTGTTCTTCTCCATGGCGTCCAGGGAGCCCATCCCACGGTACTTCTTGAGCCGCACGCCGTCCGAGAAGAAGTACTCGCCCGGAGCCTCCGTAGTGGCCGCCAGCAGGGAGCCCATCATCACTGACCGGAGGAGGAAGAGGGAAGGGTTAGTTAAGTGGGGTGGACGGTACACCAGAATCTCAGGGTTTGAAGGGTCCTCCAGGCGTCATGCGGTCCATCCTCTTCTTTTGGCCATCAGGCAGGAAACGTTTTGGGAAATGGAAATCTCTGTAACCTTTTGGAAAATAGGATTCATAACCTTTTGGGAAAACCAGGGCTCTTTTGGAAAGGCCTGACCTTGTTAGAGATCGTAACCTTTTGTAAAGTATGATTTTCCTGAGAAGATAATATCACAAAGGATTACCCGCCTCATAATATCACAAAGGATTACCCGCCAGCTCACCCGCCTCATAGGAAACCTGCTACAAAACAGGAGCTTTTTTGTTGAGTTCCAGGGCCAGAGAAGCAGATGGCGGAAACAGAAGAACGGCCTGCCTCAGGGGAGCGTGCTTGCTCCATCCATGTTCAACATCTACACAAATGACCTGCCACTGCCAGAAGGGACAGAGAGCTTCATCTATGCTGATGATCGTGCCATCACCACTCAAGAAGGGAGCTTTGAGATAGTTGAACAGAAGCTCTCCAAAGCTCTAGGTGCCCTTACTGCCTATTACAGGGAAAACCAGCTGATCCCCAACCCATCTAAAACACAGACATGTGCCTTTCACCTTAAGAACAGACAAGCATCCCGAGCTCTGAGGATGATTACCTGGGAAGGAAGGAATCCCACGGGAGCATTGCAGCACACCCAAATACCTGGGAGTCACTTTGGACCGTGCTCTGACCTACAAGAAGCACTGCCTGAACATCAAGCAACAAGTGGGCGCTAGAAACAGTATCATGCGAAAGCTGACTGGCACAACCTGGGGATCACAACCAGACACAGTAAAGACATCTGCCCTTGCGCTGTGCTACTCTGCTGCTGAGTATGCATGCCCAGTGTGGAACACATCTCACCACGCTCAAACAGTGGATGTGGCTCTGAATGAGACATGCCGCATTATTACGGGGTGTCTGCACCCTACACCACTGAAGAAATTACACTGTCTAGCTGGTATTGCACCACCTGACATCCGCTGGGAAGTAGCAGCCAATAGTGAAAGGACCAAGGCAGAGACATCTCCAGCTCACCCCCTGTTTGGGTATCAGCCAGCACGTCAACGACTTAAATCAAGAAATAGTTTTCTTAGATCTACAGAGACACTCGCTGGAACACCCCAGCAAGCGAGAGTCCAAAAGTGGCAGGCTCAAACCCAGAATCTGATACCAGATGAGAGACTCCCCGCTGGGCACACAGAAGACTGGGCGACTTGGAAGGCACTGAACAGACTGCGCTCTGGCACCACGAGATGCAGAGCCACCCTCAAGAAATGGGGCCACAAAGTAGAATCCTCGACATGCGAGTGCGGAGAAGAGCAAACCGCTGACCACCTGCTGCAATGCATCCTGAGCCCTTCTTCCACATGATGCACAAGGGAGGACCTTCTTGCGGCAACACCAGAGGCACTCCAAGGGGCCAGAGACTGGTCAAAGGACATTTAGTCAACTACCAAGCTTGCAAATTTTGTTTTGTGTCTATTTGTTTGTTAAAAATGTAATACAAATGTCTGGTTGCTCCTGACATGATAAATAAATAGCACATAGGTAGTTTGCATATCAATCCAGTTACAGATAGGATTTGAAGTAGTTTCTCTGTGCAGGTAATACAGGGTGTCTTTCTTATAATCGTAACAGTCCATAGTCTAAAGCAACTTTCTGTTCTGAGAATCTAATAGAGTCTCTGTCTAGTCTGAAAGTCCAATGGAGCCTGAGATCTCAAATGGAGCCTGAGTCCTGAACAGTCCCAGATCTGATCACATGATCTACAGCCCCTCCCACAACATATAATTAAGGACAACTGCAAACCAATACACACATATACAACAGAGTAAGCAATCTGAATTCTATACAAACAAATTACTAGTGGAGGCTTGAAGAAGGTTGCATTTCCAACAAAAAGCACCATCCAAGCCCTCCTGAGAGATGACCACCCAATCTCTGCAGAGAAAGAGACTCCCAAGGTTTCTCTGAGGAACAGCTCTTCTTACAGTCCTCGTGATGCAGCCTGGAATTGCATTGTCCTTATGGGCTCCTGCATCACACTCTTGGCTCATTGTGTCTTAGCTTGTGGTTTGCTAAGGCAAATAGCCGTATTTGTTGGAGCTGCTTGAATTGTGTAATGTAGATTTCAAAGTATGTATGTTTAAAATCCAGTAGCTTTGTGCCGAGAGTATTCCTGTGTGGAAAGAGTTAACTGTACCATGGAGGGAACGGCATTCCTAGAGAGGTCATAAATCAAAGTGTATAGAGCGTCATGCAGGAGGTGTGGACTAGTACTGATAACAGTGTGTTCTTTGTGTTCGTGATGCAGCTACCGGACAGAGATGAAGCAGTTTTATAATGTGCTTAGAGTTAAGTAGCTTCTGATGTTTATAGTTGTAAATAAAGTAGTTTATAGCCTAAAGGTGGCTGTGATGATTGTATTCCTTGCCTTGCTGTGTGGCTGATGCCACTGACAGTATAGACTCGAGTCTAATGCGCCACCAAATCTAATGCGCACCCCAATTTTCAAAACCCTGAAAAAGAAGGAATTAGGTCGCAGAGGCAAAAAGGGGCACTCTTTGTCATTTAGCCAAAAAGGGTGAGCATGCAACTTGTGTATGTTCGAGTAAATACAGTATTAGGTTCGAGTAAATGCGCTATTATTCCAGGTGGGTCCTGCCCAAAGCAGAAGGGGCCAAAACTTCCCTCGATATGGACATTAGCCTTCTCTTGATGCAGCCTAGAATGGCCTGGTTAAGTGCACATACTCACCAGTGGAGGCCCCCAGGGACAGGGCCTTGACCACGTGGCCCACCGTCTGGATGCCGCCGTCCGCGATGACCGGGACCCCGAACCGGCGGGCGTATTCCGCCACTTTGTACACAGCGGTGCCCTGAGGCCGCCCGCACGCCATCACTAGAGACACAGAGAGAAAGGGCAAGCGGTCAGTTGGCTGTGTGCAGCCACAAGCAGAATCCCCACAACAGACTCCTGTAGGAACGTTGTTATTGAAGGACATCTTGCACCACATCTTGCTCTAGTTTCTCAATGGATTTCAACATCGTTTGTGCCACAAAAACAAGATTTCTGGAGTAGAATAACTACTTTCAAAGTCAGGACTGGGCAACTAAACAGGAAATCACTCTTTCAAACCAAGAACAGGAATTTTTTCAAACATAGTGTTGTGTAGCTGTGAGTTTTCCGGGCTGCCTGGCCATGCTCCAGGAGCATTCTCTCCTGACATTTCGCCCACATCTATGGCAGGCATCCTCAGAGGATTTGGGGTCTATTGGAAACTAGGAAAATGGGGTTTATATATCTGTGGAATGATGTCCAGGGTGGGAGAAAGAACTCTTGTCTGTTGGAGGTAGGTGTGAATGTTTCCATTGGCTACCTTGATTAGCATTTGATGGCCTAGCAGTTTCAAGGTGTGGCTTCTTACTGCCTGGGGGAATCCTTTGGTGAAAGGTGATTAGTTGTCTCTGATTGTTTCTTCTCTGGAGTTCCCTTGTTTTTGAGTGTTGTTTTTTTATTTACTGTTACAATTTTAGAGTTTTTTTTAATACTGGGAGCCAGATTTCGTTCATTTTCATGGTTTCTTTCTTCCTGTTGAAATCATCCACGTGATTCTTGTGGATTTCAATGGCTTCTCTGTGTAGCCTGACATAGTGGTTGTGAGAGTGGTCCAGCGTTTCTGTCTTCTCAAATAATACACTATGTCCAGATGGGTTCATCAAGTGCTCCTCTATGGGTGACTTCTCTGGTTCAACGGCAACATTCACACTTGGCTCCAACAGACAAGAGTCTTTCTCCCACCCTGGACATCATTCCACAGGGATATAAACCACACTGGCGTAGTTTCCAACAGACCTCACAACCTAAAATCAGGACAGTAACTAACTCTAACTCTAGCCTAACTCAAAAAAGAAGGGAATACAAGACAGGAATCAATCAGGGTCAGCTAACACCTCCCAACAAAGGATTCCCCTGGGCAGGAAGCAGCCAGACTTTGACACTGCAAGTCCATTAAATGCTAATCAGTGTGGCCAATCGAAACATTCACACTGGCCTCAAGCAGACAAGAGTTCTTTCTCTCACCCTGAACACCATTCCACAGATATATGTATACAAACCTCCCTTGCCTAGTTTTCCAAGAGACCTCACAACCTCTGAGGATGCCTGTAGATGTGGGTGGAATGTCAGGAGAGAATGCTACCGAAACATGGCCATACAAACTCACAGCAACTCAGTGATTCCGGCCATGAAAGCCTTTGACAACACATTGAACAAAGTGTTGTTGTTGTTGTGATAAACTTTATTCCTACCCCACCTTTCTCCCCATAAATACTCAAGGTAGCTAACAAAAAAACACTCCTAATCACATTCAAAAGAAAGCAATAGGGTCATCCAGACCATCCCGTGGTTCCTCCAAGAGTGGAGGAACCATGGGATGCTTCCCTCTCTTCAAGGGAGAAAAGAGAGCCGAGGTGTGTGCAAAATAGTAAAATACTCATCTAGATGACCACCTTCCCTTTGCAAAGTGTGTGTTTACGTATGAGAGAGAGAGAGTGCATGTCCTTACCTTCCTGGGTGATGCAGATGGACCCGCAGCCCATGCCCACGCGCAAGGCGTCCACGCCGGCGTCGATGAGGTTCTTGGCCTGTGCCGCTGTCACCACTGTGCATCCCATAGGAGAGAAAGCAAGGCCCCCGTGAAATACCTGGCCGGAAGAGGGGAACCTCGCAAGGGGAGCGGGGACGCCACTCGGATTCACAGAATCATACAGTTGGAAGAGGTTTCGTGGCCCATCATCCAGTCCAACCCCATTCTGCCAAGAAGCAGGAATGTTGCATTCAAAGCACCCCCGGGAGATGGCCATCCAGCCTCTGTTTCAAAGCTCCCAAAGAAGGAGCCTACACCACACTCCGGGGCAGAGAGTTCCACTGCTGAACAGCTCTCACAGTCAGGAAGTTCTTCCTAACGTTCAGGTGGAATCTCCTTTCCTGTAGTGTGAAGCCATGGCTCCATTGCATCCTAGAATCCTAGTTGGAAGAGACCTGGTGGGCCATCATCCAGTCCCAACCCCATTCCAATTGCATTCAAAGCATTCCCAACAGATGGCCATCCAGCCTCTGCTTCAAAGCCTCCATAGAAATATCCTCCACCACACTTTGGGGCAGAGAGTTCCACTGCTGAACAGCTCTCACAGTCAGGAAGTTCTTCCTAACGTTCAGGTGGAATCTCCTTTCCTGTAGTGTGAAGCCATGGCTCCATTGCATCCTAGAATCCTAGTTGGAAGAGACCTGGTGGGCCATCATCCAGTCCCAACCCCATTCCAATTGCATTCAAAGCATTCCCAACAGATGGCCATCCAGCCTCTGCTTCAAAGCCTCCATAGAAATATCCTCCACCACACTTTGGGGCAGAGAGTTCCACTGCTGAACAGCTCTCACAGTCAGGAAGTTCTTCCTAACGTTCAGGTGGAATCTCCTTTCCTGTAGTGTGAAGCCATGGCTCCATTGCATCCTAGAATCCTAGTTGGAAGAGACCTGGTGGGCCATCATCCAGTCCCAACCCCATTCCAATTGCATTCAAAGCATTCCGACAGATGGCTATCCAGCTTCTGCTTAAAAGCCTCCAAAGAAGGAGCCTCCACCACACTTGGGGCAGAGAGTTCCACTGCTGAACAGCTCTCACAGTCAGGAAGTTCTTCCTACTGTTCAGGGATCCCTTTTCCTATAGTTTGAAGCACAATATTCCAGGTGTGGTCTAACCAAGGCAGAATAGAGCATGGGGAGCAGGACTTCCCTGGATCTAGTCTAGTGTCTACTTCTGTTCTATTCCGCCTTGGTTAGACCACACCGGGAATATTGTGTCCAGTCCTGGGCACCACAACTGAAGAGATATTGACAAGCTGGAATATGTCCAGAGGAGGGTGCCCAAAATGATCAAGGGTCTGGAAAACAAGCCCTATGAGGAGCGGCTGAAAGAGCTGGGCATGTTTAGCCTGAAGAAGAGAAGGCTGAGAAGAGACAATATGATAGCCATGTATAAATATGTGAGAGGAAGTCATAGGAAGGAGGGAGCAAGCTTCCTTTCTGCTTCCCTGGAGACTAGGACGCAATGGAACAATGGCTTCAAACTACAGGAAAGGAGATTCCACCTGAACATGAGGAAGAACTTCCTGACGGTGAGAGCCGTTCAGCAGTGGAACTCTCTGCCCCGGAGGGAGTGTGGTGGAGGCTCCTTCTTTGGAGGCTTTTAAGCAGAGGCTGGATGGCCATCTGTCAGGGGTGCTTTGAATGTGATTTTCCTGCTTCTTTGCAGAATGGGGTTGGACTGGATGACGGCCCAGGAGGTCTCTTCCAACTCTGGGATTCTAGGATTCTATTTATTCCCTCTGCAAGGAGACTCAAGGTGGTTGGAGGAAATGGGTCCCTTTGGAAGAGAAGGGGGCTCTAGTAATAAAGTCAACTCAAAGGATGAAAGGTCTGGAGACCATCAATAATCCCTATGAGGAGAGGCTTAAAGAGCTGGGTCTCTTTAGCCTCAGAAGAGAACATTGAGACAAGGAGACAGGAGAGGAGCTGTGTTTCCGTATGTGAAAGAGTGTCCTAAGGAAGAGGGAGGAGGCTTGCTTTCGGCTTCCCTGGAGACCCAGAAAAGGAGACTCCATTGAACATTGTAATGAAGTTCCTGACTCTAAGAAGAGCTGTTCAGCAGTGGAACTCTCTGCCTCGGAGTCCAGTGGACGCTCCTTCCTTGGAGGCTTTGAAACAGGAGGGAAAGGAAGGGGCCTGAGGCTATTAGGAATTGCCAGAGTTGAAGTTCAAAACACCTGGAGGGAGGGCCAAAGCTTGCCCAGGCCTGCTATAGACAGGACTTGGCTATTGCTTGGAGGAGTGAGCAAAGAAGCTCTGCTCCAGGTGGAAGACGTGGGAGGGGGAGCGGGGTGGGTGGGGAAAGGGTCCCGCCGAGGCTCACCATTGCCCCCGATGACTTGCAGCTCCGGGTACTTGTGCTTGATGTAGTGGATCATGCTGATCTGATAGACCGAGTTTCCTTGCGAAGAGTCCTTTTGGCACCGCAGGAAAGGGAAGGGAGAGACGAGAGGGACTCGTTAGCATGAGGCTCTATACAGAAAGGGGCACCCCCCCCCCCAAAGTCCTGCCCCACCAACACTCACTCACACACACACACAATTCTTTCAAGGAGGAGAAATGAAGGGAAGTTGGCCCCACAAGAGGAACAACAATATCCTTTTTTGTTTTGTCGTGTGCATTGCAACTATTGCAACTGGAGGAAAACAAGAGAAGCCCCCAGTCCGGATGGGAAGGCTCGGGCTTAGCTTCAGGGATTCCTTTCCCAATAATGAAAGTAGGGCAGCAACCATGACCCTAGGTCACAGTATGATTTTTGTTCCTGGCTTATCAATGCCACTATTTCCTCATTGGTTCTATACTAAAAACATGGGGAAAGTTTACTAAAGTGCAATTTTTTTGTCTTTGCAAAAGAGACATCCTCCTGCAGCAGCACAATTGGTGATAATTTTCCCATGAATCTTTCATCATTGAGTCTCAACCCATTCAACGTATGTTTGTGCCAGAAAAACAAAGTTTTTGGAGCAATAATAATAATAATAATAATAATAAACTTTACATATACCCCGCCACCATCTCCCCAATGGGGACTCGGAGCGGCTTACGTGGGGCCAAGCCCGGACAAAATATTACAGCAAAATAAAACCAAAACATAAACAACAAACAACATCATCAAAATTACATTGGTGGCTCTTTTGGGGTCACCTGACTCTCAGGGGTGGAGGGCGGCCACTCACCAGGACCACGACGTCGACCCCGGCCTGCGTGAGGAGGTCCAGGCGGTACTTGTCGTCCTCCCGGGTGCCGATGGCGGCGCCGCAGAGCAGCTGCTTCCGGGGGTCCTTGGAGGCCAGCGGGTAGTCCCGGTTCTTCTTGAGGTCCGTGCGGGCGATGATGGCCACCAGCTCATCCGCGTCGTTCACGATTGGAAGCTTCCCTGCAAAAAGAGGAAGAGGCTCAACGACTGGTCAACGGGGACAGTGTTACACTAGAGACCTAGAACACCTTTTCACCACAAACCACACTCTGTCCAGGTAATCCAGTCAGTAGAAGCTTATTGAAAGAAGATTCCAAAAAGAGGATAAAAGTTCAAAAGGTGATTTCCAAAAACAGCCGAGAGTCCAAAATCCTTTCAAATACAGTCTCCAGAGTAAATCCACAAATATATTCTGTTTTGGTTAGACCACATCTGGAATATTGTGTCCAGTTCTGGGCACCACAATTCAAGAGAGATATTGACAAGCTGGAATGTGTCCAGAGGAGAGCGACTAAAATGATAAAAGGTCTGGAGAACAAGCCCTATGAGGAGCGGCTTAAGGAGCTGGGCATGTTTAGCCTGAAGAAGAGAAGGCTGAGAGGAGGCATGATAGCCATGTATACCTATGTGAGAGGAAGCCACAGGGAGGAGGAGGGAGGAAGCTTGTTTTCTGCTTCCCTGGAGACTAGGACGCAATGGAGGAATGGCTTCAAACTCCAAGAGAGGAGATTTCATCTGAACATGAGGAAGAACTTCCTGATTGTGAGAGCCGTTCAGCAGGGGAACTCTCTGTCCCGGAGTGTGGTGGAGGCTCCTTCTTTGGAAGCTTTGAAGCAGAGGCTGGATGGCCATCTGTCAGGGGTGATTTGAATGCAATATTCCTGCTTCTTGGCAGAATGGGGTTGGACTGGATGATGGCCCACCAGGTCTCTTCCAACTCTTTGATTCTATGATTCTATGATTCTATATCCACAAACCAGATAGCATGAATCCAAGGCAGGCAACCTCGAACTAGAAGCAAGAAGAAACTTAGACGCTTGAATACATGAATTCCAAGAATAGAGGATCAAAAACCGAGAGCCGTTCACCTGAATGCAACATTGCTCTCACAAGGATTTTACTCGCAGGAACCACTTAAAAAGGCCTCAATTCCTCCCATAACATCATTCCTCACGCACCTGCTTTTCCGCTCCTTATCTCTAGGCCTCTGGGAAAAGCGAGTCTGTTTCTGTTGTGCACTCTGCCTCCAAAGTTCCAAGTGCCTTGACCTGGACAAACATTCATCTCCTGCATTTCTCTCAGCCAGAACTTCAGTTCTCATGAGAACTGATATCGCTTTCTCCAATCTCGTAGGAAATGCTAGGAGATTCCAAAACAACTCTCTCCAAGCATCATCCTCTGGGACCTCTGAATCTATCCCAGCACCTCCTTCCTCATCTTCTGACCACATTGTGTGGCCCAGAACTGGACGCAGGGCTATCATCCCAGGTAAGAAGGTCTGACCAAAGCAGAAAAAGAGAGGGGCCCCAAAGGCCATCCAGTCCAACCCCCTTCTTCCTTCCACAAGGAAAAGCAATATCCCTTTTGTCACCTTTTTTGCTCCGCTGCAGGATCTCGTTGGCTTCCTTTAAGGTGACGCCGGCGGGGGCCACCACCAGGTCGCTGCGCTTGGTCATCACCTGAATTTGGGGTCCGAAGGGAGACCATAACATAGGTTAGCCATAAGGTGATAGATAGCCCTTTCCTCCCCACTATCATCATCATTATTTGCACTATTATTGTTATTATTATTATAACGACTACTATCCGTACCCGGCCACGCATTGCTGTGGCCCTCAGAAAACAAGATTTCCAGACATGGAACAATCTGGGCTAGGGAACTCCTCCCACCAAAGCTTTCCTGCTGGCTTTAAGGTGCAAAGCTATTCAAAGGTAATTCAGGTGGGCAATTGCAACATTCACAATTGGCTCAAGTAGAAATTGAGGGGGGCGGGGCCAAGGAGTCATATTCATGCATGCGCTAGAATGTCTTTTTGTTTTTTGGGGGTTTTTAAGTCCTTTCTGCTGTGTTTTTGTTTGCATGAGTGATGGTCACTCATTGGTCTGAGAGGTGTCTCGTGTCCACATTTGGTGTCAATTCATCCAGTGGTTTCTGAGTTATGTTAATCCCACAAACAAACATTACTGTTGGGAATCAGTCTGTGTTTGTGTTCCAGGATCATGATGCTTATGATGTGAGTAATGATGGTGCCGAGGCTGAGGTGCAAGATGGAGACAGTTTGGTCAATGATTTCCAGGCAGACAATGACAGAGAGGCCCCAGTGCAAAGGGCAGTTTCTCATGAGAATATTCCTGCTGAGCCTTGCAATGATAATTCACTCCCTCTCTCCGTGACCTCTCAAGATTTAATAATAATAATAATAATAATAATAATAATAATAATAAACCTTTATTAATACCCCATTACATTTCCCGAAGGACTCGGTGCGGCTTACAAGTGGCCGAGCCCAAACACATCAGTAAAACACAACAACAACAGTACAATAATAAAAAAAAACCTCATAAACAAAGCAAAAAACATAAACAATAACACCGCGGCGCATTAAAAAAATGTAGTACTTACAATCTTTAAAATGTTGGCCATGATCAGGTGAAATAGGATAGATATTTTAGGGATAGGTGGGGAAAACAATCTGACACCTGGGAATTTTAATGAGCAGCCAGATAGGGAGCTGAAGGATAGACAGCTGGAGATCAGCCAGGATCGACAGCCAACTCATTGTTTACGTCACTCCAAAAGACTTTGTCTGATAAGGGGTAAATGTGGGGGAAAGCGAAACCAATTTCTAGGTTTTGAGATATAAGGTTTGCTTCAAGGGGAAACCTGTTAGATTAGGCATCATTTGGAAACCAAGTTCATGTGCCATGGAAATCCTATTCATGGGGTCTTGTTCATGTGGAGAATTTTAGCCGTTTGGATTGTCTTTGCTTCCTGTAGATTCCTGCCTGGATAAACACTGCCTGGGAACTGCTTTTATATGTTGTGTGGACATTGCTTTGTGTTACTGCATTTTACTGACTTATTACTTTTTGGGACCTTATTTTCTTACAAGCATTTATTTTTACTATTTACTAAGCTTCAATAAAAGAGGATTTGTTTCTTCACTCATCGTGTGGTGTGCTTTAAAGTCAGAGGGCTTTTTCCTGACCTGGAGTGCAACAATTACATTTTTATTTATATAGATTACTAGCTGTCCCCTGCCATGCGTTGCTGTGGTCCAGCCTAGTGATCTGGAACATAAAGTAATGAGAAAGTGTTGGTTTCCAATATATGTAATTCCTTTCTGCTTGTGGGTAAACAGTATTTCTTGCTGTTTCATTGTTAGTGTTGATGTGGAGAGTGTCTGGTTTGCCTACTCTGGAACATGCAACATATCATTGTCCTTCTCTAGGGGTCCCTTTCAAATCTATAATACTATCTCTCTCTCTGTGTGAATCATATCTATCTATCTATCTATCTATCTATCTATCTATCTATATCTATGGCTGGGTGGCTCTTTGTCAGGAGGGCTTTGATTATGTTTTCTTGCCCTGATGAAGGGAGTTGGATAAGTATTTTCTGTTGGTCATGGGGGTTCTGTGTGGGATGTTTGCCCTGATTCTGTCGTTCATGGGGTTCAGAATGCTCTTTGATTGTAAGTGAACTGTGAATCCCAGTGACTACAACTCCCAAATGTCAAGGTCTATTTCCCCCAAATGCCATCTGTGTTCATATTTGGGCGTATTGAGTGCTTGTGCCAAGTTTGGTCCAGATCCATCATCGTTTGAGTCCATAGTGCTCTCTGGATGTAGGTGAACTACAACTCCCAAACTCAAGGTCCAGTATTTTCTGTTGGTCATGGGAGTTCTGTGTGCCAAGTTTGGTTCAATTCCATTACTGGTGGAGTTCAGAATGCTCTTTGATTGTAGGTGAACTATAAATCCCAGCAACTACAACTCCCAAATGACAAAATCATAATTTTTTGAGTGATGGTCACTCCTTGTGTTGTGAGACATTTTGCTGCCAAATTTGGTGTGATTTTGTTCATTGGTTCTTTTGTTTTTAAGGTACTCATTACGCACAGAGCATTTTATATATATATATATAGATTATGGTTACAATTATTATTACATTTATTATTATTTTACTGACACAAAAACACAGTATGTCACAGCAAATGAGATCTATATGCTGAATTTCGTATCACAAAATCACAAGTCGAAACCTTTCTCCCAAGGCCTGACAGGAACATTCTCATGAGAATCTGCCCTTTGCACCGAAGCCTCTCTGTCAGTGTCTTCATGAAACTCATTGACCATGCCCCACTGCCGTTCTGAGAAAATACTCCTTCTTTGGTCTTGCCCCCTCCCCTCATCCTTCGGCATACGCGACAGTGTATCTGCTATGGTATTTTGTTTTCCCTTGTGGAATTTCAGCTTGAAATCGAATCTGCTGAAGTATTGAGCCCACCTTATTTGTTTTGCGGATAACTTTCGGGGCGAGGTAATATATTGCAAGTTTTTATGATTGGTCCACAACTCAAAAGGCTGCTGGTGGATCCCGGCTTAATGTCAGCTCACAACAGCCGTTCCCAATAATGACACAGGACTCCGATCCGTAATCAATTAGAAACCTTTACTGCTGGATGTTCAGACACAAAGAAAGCCGGGATTGACCAGCAGCCGCCGGTCATCCCTTTTATACACTCCCCCACATTCGAAACCCTCCTTCCCGCCAAGCCAGGAATCCCGCGCAACGCTCCCGCCAAATGCCAACTGCTATCCCCGAGGTCACCAGCTGCACAGTTCTTATCAGAGTCCTATGTCAGGATCCTGGTTTTTAGCACCAAAACCGAAGGCCTGGAAACTAGCACCTGACAATTATTATTGGGTTTATTATTGACAGCATTGCACCTAATTCCACAAATACAGTCCAAGCCACACATGGTGACATTTCCATCCCTGCTATCATGACCGTACCCTTTTGGGGCCGTCGGGCTTTCCTTGGTGCTTACCTCGCTCAAGGGGGTGCCGTAGTCCTTCTCGGAGAGGAAGTCGATGTCGCGGGAGGTGACGATGCCCACCAGCGTGCTGCCCATCTTGCCGGCCTCGGTGACCGGGATCCCCGAGAAGCCGTGCCGCACCTTGGCCTCGAAGACGTCGCCCACCGTGTGCGAGGGGCTCAACACCACCGGGTCCGTGATGAAACCCTGCTCAAACTTCTGCACCCAAGAGAAGGCACACAACAATGCATCAAAGGGTGTCGTCGGTGCTGGAGCACCTTCTCGGTCAAACGTCATGGTTAGGGAATTCTCCCAAAAACAATAGCACGGCATCTGTCTTGTTACATCCCGAATAGACTACTCTCTACGTGGGGTTGCCCTTGAAGACTGTTCGGAAACTTCAACTAGTCCAGCGAGCGGCAGCCACATTGCTCACCGGAGCGACATACAGGGAGCATACCACCCCCCTGCTGTGTCAGCTCCACTGGCTGCTGATTCAGTTCCGAGCACAATTCAAGGTGCTGGTTTTGACCTACAAAACCCTGTACGGTTCCGGTCCAGTGTATCTGTCCGAACGTATCTCCCTCTACGTCCCACCCCGGAGTCTGAGATCATCTGGGGAGGCCCTGCTCTCGACCCCACCACTCTCACAAGTGAGGCTGGTGGGGACGAGGAGCAGGGCTTTCTCAGTGGTGGCTCCTCACCTGTGGAACTCACTCCCGGGGGAAATCAGGGCATCATCATCCCTCCTCGCCTTCAGGAGGAGGGTGAAGACGTGGCTATGGGACCAGGCCTTTGGGCACTCAGGCAATTAAATTAGACAATCAGGCGAGTAAGACCAACAGGATTGATGAAGTGTAACGTAAAACTGGATCTATGAGTGAGCGAACGCTGACCATGTAAGAGGAGAAACTGGGTTTGTATAGGTTTTATTGATTTTATGGTTATAATGCATGAACTGTTGTTAATTGTGAATTGATGTAATTTTGTGTATGACTGTTTTATGATGCAGGCATCGAATTGTGCCTTTGCTTTTGTAAGCCGCCCTGAGTCCCCTTCGGGGTGAGAAGAAAGGCGGGGTAGAAGAACCCCAAATAAATAAATAAATAAATATGTTCTGCAGTTGTTGGTGATGGAAGGGTTAATGTGAGTATTAGTTCTAGAGGGTTTGGTAATCTGTAAGTGGGAGTTCATGGGTGAAAGCAATTAGGGGTGGAGGTGTACAGGAGATGGGTTGCAACTGGGTGTTACTGGACTTAAGGAGCTAACCTTGAGACTGATCTTTGGGAGAAAGGTATTTGTTGCATTTTGGTGGTGGATGCTGCTGGTTTTCCCCCCAGGTCTGTTGGATTCTTGGGTATCCTGACCTGTCTCCTGTATTCTTGGAATCCTGGAACCTTGAATCTTTGGACTGGCTTTTGACTACGGTATAGACTCTTGCTCCCTGGACTCTGTTATTGAACTCTCGGCATTTGACCACTGGACTGGACCCTGGACCCTTTTGGCTACGAAGTTATTTTTGCTATCAGTTTTTGTTTATTCTGTGGCTGAGTGCTGTCTTTGTGTTTTATGTTTTGGTCTATTAAAACAGCCAGCAAGTAAGTGCTGTTTTAATTAAACTGTTTGATAAAACTGGGGGTTTGGTTCATCTCTACCTAAATAAGGCAGAGTCCTGGCAACGTGACAGCATCCAAAAAGGCAAACAGGATACTTTTTGCATTTTTGGATGATGCAAAAATGGCTAGTTTCACAGATTTTATCTCGTGTCACAATGCTGACAGCAATAGCACATTTGGTTCAGACGGCAATTCCTGTCTCGTGCCTTGGATTTACATTCATGCTGATATTCCTGTAACTTTTCGTGACTTTGATTTAATGCTCAAGTTTTGTTCCTGTATTTTTATGTGTCTTTGGTTTTGTGTTCCTGGATTATTTTGGAATCACAGACTCTTGTTCCCTTTGAATCTTGTCATGGTTTTGGACATTGAAGTTTGGATTCTTGTTTTCCATGTTTAAGTGACTCTTTTTGTGGAAAATACTTTATACTACTCTTGATCATTTTTTCTCCTTTTGCTGAAGCTATTTTTGTTCTTCAATAAACTGCTTGCTTAGACAGAACTCTGGTGTGTGACATTGATTCAGAGGTGCTTTCCCAGCCCTGGTGTGCGACCTGTTGTTTTGTTTTGGGTTGCTGCGAGTTTTCCGGGCTGTATGGCCATGTTCCAGCAGCAAATGTGTCCAAATGGATGGTGACTATGTGTTCAAACGGTATGTTGAATGGTAGTTTTGTGTAGAGGACAGCTCAGGCTAGGATCTGGAGCAACTTCTGCTGTGAGAGGTTCATTCAGAACGTTTTTATGACACAGGAGGCAAAACTTTTTGACCCACCTGGGTGTGTGTGTATATACACACATGGCTGCCCACCACAGAATGGAGGGAGATGCTCACCTTCACCTTTCGGACCTCGTTGGCCTGGAACTCAGGGGTGCAGTTGTGGTGGATGATGCCAATGCCGCCCATCAGCTGCAAAGGGAGCAGAGGTCAGAAGGAAGGAAGGAAGGAAGGAAGGAAGGAAGGGTCAACAGAGAGTACCACTCCCAAATCCATGGGACCAGCCTGTTGGGACTCAGCCTGTGATTGAACCTGAGCCTGGGCTTGAACCTGTGAATGTGCTTCAGTCTCCTGATGTTTCTGTGTCTGATGTGGGGAATGAGGAGGGAAGTCAGTCCCCTGTTGCTTCTGATGTGGGGGATGCTGGGACTGACTCTGAGGGGCAAGATGGAGACACTTGGTCAATGAGTTTCATGAAGACACTGACAGAGAGGCTTCGGTGCAAAGGGCAGATTCTCATGAGAATGTTCCTGTCAGGCCTTGGGAGGAAGGTTTACTCCCTCCGCCTGTGAGCTCTCCAGATTCTAGTTTGGAAAACAGTCTGGCACCTGCTAAAGTGAATGAGGAGTCAGATAAGCAGAGTCGGCGGCTAGAGATTAGGCAGAATCGACAAGAGGCCCAATGTTTACATAGATCCGAAAGAATTGGTCAATTAAAAGTCAAAGACTGGGGGAAAACGAAACCAGTTCGTGGGATTTAAGATTTTCCGGTAGAAAATCTTGTCAGATCAGGCATTGTTTGGAAACCTAGCTCAAGCCTCATGGAATTCCTGTTCAAGTGATCTCGTCTTCATGGTTTTTTCTAACCTTTCAACTTGACTAGCAGCCTCTGCTCTGTCCTTGCTCCTTGGTTGATTTCTGTCTGGATAATCAGTGCCTTGGATTATATTCTATGCTTTTTGAATATTGCTTTTGACTGCTACGTTTGGGCACTGTGTCTTCTTGCTGCCTTTAAATGCTTTATTGCTTTTTGGAATCTTATCTATCTTTACAAGCATTTATTTCTACTGGCTTTTTTGCTAAACTTTAATAAAAAGGTTTGTTCCTTCACTCAATGTGTGGTGTGTTTATAGTCAGAAGGGCCATTTCCTGTTCTGGAGTGCAACACAGCCAACCCTTTGGGTCTAGTGCAGCCCACCCACCCAACAGGGATTCACATCATAGAATCATAGACCTGGAAGGGACCTCTAAAGGCCATCTAGTCCATCCTTTTCTGCCATGGAGGAAAAGCACAATCAAAGCTCCCCAACAGATGGCCCTCCAGCTTTTGGTTGAAAGCCTCCAAGGAAGGAGTTTCCAACAGACTCTGAGGCAGAGAGTTCCACTGCTGAACAGCTTTTAAGGTCTTCCTAATGTTCAGACGGAATATCCTTTCCTGTTATTTGAACCTATTGCACCGAGTCCTAGTCTCCAGGGCAGAGAAAACAAGCCTGCTTCCTCTTCCTTAGGGCACCCTTTCACATTTTTAAACATGGCTTTCATGGCTCTCTTCTCTCAACCTTCTCTTTGCAGGCTAAACAGACTCTGATCTTTAAGATGCTCCTCAGAGGGATTATTCATGGTCTCCATAGTTGGTGGTCCACCTGACCACAAGGAAGACCTTTCTGCAGACACCAGGAAAGCCTTGTTGATCAGTTCCATCAAGCCTTTGTGCATTCAGCAGCAGGGGAGAGGGGCAGGTATTGGGGCTGGGGGGCTTTCATGGACCCCTAGCCCTGAAGGCTTCACATGATGGGGTTCTAATGACAGGAGAGGAGATTCCACCTGAACATTAGGAAGAACTTCCTGACCACACAATCTGTTCAACAGTGGAATTTTCTGCCTTGAATCTGCTATCAGTTTCTCCTGCAATCTGGCAGAGCGCCTGAGAGCCTGGTTTGCTTTCTTTTGCTGACTGAAAGACTTCTCATATCTACTGGCTCGTTATTTTCTGCAGCTGGCCCAGATGCCGAACCTTTCTCAGGCTCAAAGCATTGGGAATTCTCTGGTAGCAATTCAGGCCATCATCCCCAAACCCTTCAGGAACATTCCCCTCAGAAGGGACACTTTGAACAGGAATCCCATTGTCATTCTCTGCATCTAGAGCCTCCTCATCATTAGACACATGAACCTCATTGTCACGCCCAACATACAGAGTACCCTCATCATTAGACACAATCACAGGCTGGACTCCAACAGGCCCCTCCATACTCCCCCCCCCCCAAATTCAGGGGTCTCACCGCCATGGCGATGGCCATGTCCGACTCCGTGACCGTATCCATCGGGGATGAGATGAGGGGGGTCTTCAGGGTGATCTTCCGGGTCAGCGCCGAGGTCAGGTCCTGCGCAGGACGGGAGGAAGAACATCATGCCCATCAATCTATTACATCCTACTTTATTTACATCAAGCATAGGCAAACTTCGGCCCTCCAGGTGTTCTGGACTTCAATTCCCACAATTCCTAACAGCCGGTAGGACTCTAATTCTCTTGGGGATACAATGCCACACTGGCCACGTATAATCACCATCAGGAAAACCAATACCCTAAGCCACTCCGAGCCCTAGGGGAGTGGCGGCATATACGTTTGAATAACAAATAAATATATATAAATAAGTATAAATAAATAAAATGATTTTGGTTCCTGGATGATTGTGATGAATTGCCTACCTTTAGACCAGAATAAGCTCAGGAAGTAGGCTGAATGTTTTCAATGCATCGAGTTGTATTATATGTGCTTTTAATGTAATGTGTTAACTACTTCATGTGCTGTATTCACTTTTATTTTATTTTATTTACCATATATATATATATATATATATATATATATATATATATATATATATAAGGCCTGTTTGATCAAGAAAAAATTTGTTTCTAAAATCGATTTGTAATTGGGGTGTTTTTTTGTTTCGATATTTAAAATATTTACAAAACTTTCCAAAAAAAGTTTTGGTATTTACGAAATTTTGTAAATATTAACGAATTTTTAGAATATTTTTTGTATTTTTTAAGAATAATATTAAAATAATATTAAAAAATATTTAAAATGGAAAATTAACCAAAAACTGGCCCTGATGTAGAGCTAACACAGGCAGGAGACAGGGCAATCGAGAGCACACACCAACAGAAGAGTCTTTTCTATTTTTAAAATATTTTTTGTATTTTTTAAGAATAATATTAAAATAATATTAAAAAATATTTAAAAATGGAAAATTAACCAAAAAATGGCCCAAATGTGGACCAAACACAGGCAGGAGACAGGGCAATCGAGAGCACACACCAACAGAAGAGTCTTTTCTTTTTTAGAATATTTTTTAAGTAAGAATAATATTAAAAATAATATTAAAAAATAATATTAAAAAATATTTTAAAATGGAAAATTAACCAAAAAATGGCCCAAATGTGGACCAAACACAGGCAGGAGACAGCAAATGAGAGCACACACCAACAGAAGAGTCTTTTCTTTTTTAGAATATTTTTTAAGAATAATATTAAAATAATATTAAAATAATATTAAAAATAATATTAAAAATATTTTAAAATGGAAAATTAACCAAAAAATGGCCCAAATGTGGACCAAACACAGGCAGGATACAGCAAATGAGAGCACACACCAACAGAAGAGTCTTTTCTTTTTTAGAATATTTTTTAAGAATAATATTAAAATAATATTAAAAAATAATATTAAAATAATATTAAAAAATATTTAATATTAAAAATATTTTAAAATGGAAAATTAACCAAAAAATGGCCCAAATGTGGACCAAACACAGGCAGGACACAGCAAATGAAGCAAGCAGCACTCACAGCAGCAAGGAATGAATCCAATCCAGTTGCTAGCCATTAGCCAAGCCAAGCCAATGCAAACTCCCTCGCCCTCTGCAGCAATGAGCCGGGCCGCGCCGCGCGGAGCCGCTTTGAAAGGGCTCGCCGGCCAATCAAAAACAAACAGCCACGGACCCACAGTGCACTGCTTGGGAGCGCCGGATTGGCTCCCACTGGCACCAGCACTCCAGCAGCCTCCACCCCATTAACGAAACGAGCGGAAGCTCGTTAAATCTATGGGGGTTGCTGGTTCGATATTTTAAAACCCTTCCGGGTTTGGAAATGTGTTTTGATATCGCTTCAAAAATGCCTAAAATAACGAATTAATAACGAATTAACGAATTAACGAACGAAACCGGACAGGCCTAATATATATATTAGGGTTGGGCGGTTTCGTTCGTTAATTTCGTAATTAGTTATTAATTCGTATTTAAATTAGCTTACGATCCGATATTGAGCCATGCAGGAGTAATTAAAAATCGAAACGAATTTTTTCAATTTATTTCGTAATTGTTTCGTAATTGATTCATAATTGTTTCGAAATCGTTTCGTAATTATTTCCGTATGTCTGGTGCAAGTTTTAGAATTGTTGTTTGTTTTATCAGTGATAAAAAATATAATTATCACACCAACAGTCAACAACAGAGGGAGAGGGAAGTTTCAGAAGTTCCCCCGTCCCATTTGGAGGGTTTTTTAGTATTGCGCAATCGCGCCCGCCATTAACGAATCGTTTCGTAATTGTTTCGGAATCGTTTCGTAATTGTTTCATAATTTTACGAAATTTCGTATATTTCGAACTTTTTTAAAGGAAAATTTCGGAATTCTTTTAAAAAACGAAACGCAAAACCCCATAAAAACGAATCGAGTTTAGAAACAATTTTTTCCGTGGTTACCCAGCCCTAATATATATATATCGCCTTTCTCAGCCCGAAGGCAACTCACTGAATCTCTACCCTGCCTTTTCTCTCTTAATTGAGGATTCATATTGCATTTGAATATGTCGCCGTTCCCCATCTTCAGTCCATGGGGAGAGAAACAACAACAACACAACAACAACAGCGTGTGCCCACTGCAAATAGCTGACAACGATGGCTAATAATTCATTGACCCTGTTTGTATCCGAAAGGGATCCCGGCATCCCTCCCTGGCCTGACCTTCACCCGCTCAGATCCCAGATTATCCAACAAGTGCATTTGGACTAATTAGCGCTGACGAACTTACTCCCACCACCCAAACCCTAAAGAGAAGGTTGTTAAAAATAACACTGTGTCACACAATTTCAGTTCCTGGGTGGGAGCCCTCGGTGGTGTCGCATCCCAGATCAGGAAACGAGACCATAAGATTAAATCCACCACACTGGACTGTGGGAAAAACAATCCTCTTCATTGATGAAAAATGGTTACAAAAGAAAGGTAAATGCAAAGTCAAAATGCCACAGTAGAAACACAGCAGTCAGGAAAATCTCTGAACTTGAGCAAAATTCCAAGAGCCACAATACAAAAACCAGGAACCTGTTAGCATATCACTAACCGTACTTGAAAACTAGAAGCCTCTGGGAATGCAGGCCATGAAACACAGGAAATCTGCCAAGGTACTGCCTCAGTCTAAAACGATGCTTGATCTAGCTAACCAGACGGGGAGAGGCCTCTTAAACTAAAGAAACTATTTCTTGAAACGCCTCCAGACTTTGAAGCCTCCCTCTACCGTAATCTATTTGACCTTCGTAGAAACTGCGATTCACTCCTGTTTTCCAAATCTGTTCTCTTCGGTCCTCATTAACAAACCCATGTGTGAGTCCCTCTGGAGAGCTATCACTGCTTGATTCCAAAACATTCTCATCAGGAAGTTCAGTTTCACTTTCCCTGCCAATCAACAGTTTCAACCCCATCAGGGAAAGATACATGTTCAGAGGCCTGTTCAGTTGCATCAGGAAATACAATTTCTAGATGACACCAACTACCTAGATAAGTCACAGTCTGGTTTCAGGCCTGGTCACGGTACCGAGACAGCCTTGGTCGCCTTGGTGGATGACCTCCGTAGAGAGCTGGACCGGGGGAGTGTGACCTTGTTGGTTCTCTTGGACATCTCAGCGGCTTTCGATACCATCGATCATGGTATCCTTCTGGGCCGACTCTCTGGGATGGGTCTCGGGGGCACGGTTTTGTCATGGCTCCGGTCCTTCCTGGAGGGTCGTTCCCAGATGGTGAAGCTGGGAGACGCCTGCTCGGACCCCTGGTCTTTGACCTGTGGGGTCCCGCAAGGCTCTATTCTGTCTCCCATGCTTTTTAACATCTACATCAAACCGCTGGGAGAGGTCATCCGGGGTTTTGGAGTTGGGTGCCACCTCTACGCAGATGACACGCAACTCTACTACTCATTTCCACCCAATTCCAAGGAGGCCTCTCGGGTGCTGGACGAGAGCCTGGCCGCTGTGTCCATCTGGATGAGGACGTACAAGCTGAAGATCAATCCCAACAAGACAGAGGTCCTCCTGGTCGATCGCAAACCGGATCGGGGTATAGGGTGGCTACCTGTGCTGGATGGGGTTACACTCCCCCTGAAGTCGCAGGTCTGCAGTCTGGGAGTCCTCTTGGATTCATCGCTCACGCTTGAGGCTCAGGCGTCGCCGGTGTCCGGGAGGGCTTTTGCACAATTGAGACTCGTGCGCCAGCTGCGACCGTACCTCGCTAAGGCTGATCTGGCCGGGGTGGTCCATGCCTTGGTCACCTCTAGATTGGACTACTGCAATGCGCTCTACGTGGGGCTGCCTTTGAAAACGGCTCGGAAATTCCAACTGGTCCAATGGGGAGCGACCAGGATGTTAACCGGGGCTCCTTACAGAGAGAGGTCAACCCTCCTGTTCAAGGAGCTCCACTGGCTGCCGTTTATTTTCCGAGCCCAATTTAAGGTGCAGGTGCTTACCTACAAAGCCCGGAACGGTTTGGGACCACCCTACCTGCGTGACCGCATCTCCGTTTATGAACTCTCACGCTCATTTTGTTCATCCGGAGAGGCCCTGCTCATGATTCTGCTCGTGTTGCAGGCGCGTTTGGTGGGGACGCGAGACAGGGCCTTTTCTGTGGTGGCCCCCCGACTCTGGAACGCCCTCCCCAAAGATCTTAGACAGACCCCTACTTTGGCAGACTTTAGAAAGAACTTGAAGACCTGGCTGTTCCGATGAGCCTTCCCAGAATAGGAAATCTCCAATACCAAGTCCCAGAAGCACTTTATTAGAATTAAGATTGTTGCACACTGCACATGCACTTACCCTCTAATCCTTACATATCACCTGTCACATCAGCACTTTTGATCCTGTGCCCATTACTCTGGCCTGGCCCAGTTTTATTGTGTCTTAGTGTATTGTTTATTGCTGTTGTTTAATATTGCTTTAACTGTTTTTAATTTGCTTTAGGTGTTGTACTGTTGTGTTGTGTATTGAGTCTGGGTCTAAGCCTTTCCCCTCCTTTTATTCTTCTTTGGCCAATGGACTCTTTATTTTTGGCCCCTTGGCCCCTGGTGTGATGCTGGATCAGGGCGCAGCAGACACAAACTAGGCTGAATTGGTTGAGACTCAATGAGATACACATTGAAAAAGTAGAGCAAAATGCGCTGCCGGGTGACGTCCCTCAAACAGAAACAAGTTCAGGCAGTTTAGTCAACTTTTCCCCATGTTTTTATGACAGACCCAATTAGAAGATGACATTGATAACCCAGGAAAGGAGATCAGAGTGTGTGCCGTAGAGACTCGAACTCACCACCTCGTCCGCCGTGAAGTCAATGAAGCCGGGAAGGATCAGGAAGTCGCTGCGGAAAGGAAGGGAGAAAACGGCGTTACCTCTCACCCAACGGCCACGGAGACAAAGTCAACCAGGAAAAGGAAAAATGCTTATTTATTTATTTATTGGTTCTCCCATTACGAACCTGCCAGGAGTTTAAGATCGTCTGGGGAGGCCCCGCTCTCAGTCCCGCCTTTGTCACAAGTACATCTGGCGGGGACAAGAGACAGGGCCTTCTCAGTGGTGGCCCCTTGCCTATGGAACACTCTCCCAAGGAAGATCAGATCAGCTTCTTCGCTCCCAACATTTCGGGAAAAAACTCAAGGAATTGGAACAACTACATGATGAAAGTAGACAATGTTTGTGTAATGAGAATTTATTGATTTACTAGCTGTACCCGCCACGTGTTGCTGTGGCCAACCTTTCCTCCCTCTTTCTTTACTTCTTTCCCTCCTTCCTTTTCTCCCTCTTTCTTTCCTTCCCTCCCTTTTCTTCTTTCCCTCTCTCCTTCCTTCCTTCTCTACCTCTTTCCTTCCTTCCCCCTTTTTCTTTTCCTTCTCCTTTCTCTCCTAGAATCCTGGAATCAGAGTTGGAAGAGACCTCCTGGGCCATCATCCAGTCCAACCCCATTCTGCCAAGAAGCAGGAATATTGCATTCAAAGCACCCCTGACAGATGGCCATCCAGCCTCTGTTTAAAAGCTTCCAAAGAAGGAGCCTCCACCACACACCTGGGGCAGAGAGTTCCACTGCTGAACGGCTCTCACAGTCAGGAAGTTCTTCCTAATTCAGATGGAATTCTCCTCCTTTTTCTTCTCTTCACTTCCCTTCCTTCCTTCACTTTTTGCTTCCATCTTCTTTCTCTCTTTCCTCTTTCCTTCCCCCTCCTCTTTTTTCTTCCTTCTCTACCTCTTCCCTTCCTTCCTTCACTTTTTGCTTCCATCTTTCCTTCTCTCTTTCATTCCCTCCCTCTTTCTCTCCTTCTTTTCCTGTTTCCTTTGCTCTTTTCTTCTTTCCCTCTCTTTCTTCCTTCTCTACCTCTTTCCTTCCTTCTCCCTTTTTCTTTTCCTTCTCCTTTCTCTCCTTCCTTCACTCCTTCCTTCCTTTTTGCTTCCATGCTTCCTTCTCTCTTTCATTCTCTCCCTCTTTCTCTCCTTCTTTTCCTGTTTCCTTTACTTCCCCCTTTCTTTCCTTCCCTTTTCTTCTTTCCCTCTCTCCTTTCTTCCTTCTCTACCTCTTTCCTTCCTTACCCCTTTTCCTTCTCCTTTCTCCCTTCACTCCTTCCTTCCTCCCTTCACTTTTTGTTTCCATCCTTCTTTTTCTTTCTGTCTTTCCTTCTCTCCCTCTTTTTGTCCTTTTTCCTTCTCTACCTCTTCCCTTCCTTCCTTCACTTTTTGCTTCCATCTTTCCTTCTCTCTTTCATTCTCTCCCTATTTCTCTCCTTTTCCTGTTTTCTTTGCTCCCTCTTTCTTTCCTTCCCCTTTCTTCTTTCCCTCTCTACCTCTTTCCTTCCTTCCCCCTTTTTCTTTTCCTTCTCCTTTCTCTCCTTTATTTATTTCAATAGATTATTATTATTATGTGTTGCTTTACAAATATATTATTATTATTATTATTATGTGTCGTATTGCAAAGATATTATTATTATGTGTTGCGTTGCATTGCAAAGATTATTATTATTATTATTTGTTGCATTGCAAACACATTGTTGTTGTTGTTATTATTATTATGTGTTGCATTGCAAAGATATTGTTCTTATTATTATGTGTTGCATTACAAATATATTATTATTATGTGTTGCATTGCAAAGATTATTATTATTATGTGTCGCATTGCATTGCAAAGATTATTATTATTATGTGTTCCATTGCAAAGATTATTATTTTTATTATTATTATTTGTTGCATTTCAAAGACATTGTTGTTGTTATTATTATTATTATTATTATTATTATTATTATTATTATTATTATGTGTTGCATTGCAAAGATTATTTTATTTATTTCGAGGTTTTATATACCAAACCTCTCACCTTCAAAGAGGGATTCGGACCGGTTCACAACATGTGTTAACATACAAAAAATATACAATAACAACACAATGCCACTTCATTACACGATTAAAATATCAGCACCATACACATTAAAATATTATCATCCCAGTTAAAAGAGCCAAATCGTTCAACACCATCACAAGATATCATTATTATTATGTGTTGCATTGCAAAGATATTATGTGTTGCATTGCAAAGATTACTATTTTTATTATGTGTTGCACTGTAAAGATATCATTATTATTACTATTATTATTATTATGTGTTGCATTGCATAGATTAATATTATTATGTGTTGCATTGCAAAGATTATTATTATTATTATGTGTTTCATTGCAAATATATTATTATTATTATTATTATTATTATGTGTTGCACTGCAAAGATATCATTATTATTATTATTATTATGTGTTGCATTGCATTGCAAAGATTAATATTATGTGTTGCATTGCAAATATTATTATTATTATTATGTGTTTCATTGCAAATATATTATTATTATTATTATTATTATTATTATGTGTTGCACTGCAAAGATATCATTATTATTATTATGTGTTGCATTGCATTGCAAAGATTAATATTATTATGTGTTGCATTGCAAAGATTATTATTATTATTATGTGTTTCATTGCAAATATATTATTATTATTATTATGTGTTGCACTGCAAAGATATCATTATTATTATTATTATTATTATGTGTTGCATTGCATTGCAAAGATTATTATTATTATTATTATTATTATGTGTTTCATTGCAAATATATTATTATTATTATTATTATTATTATTATTATTATGTGTTGCATTGCAAAGCTGAGGGGTGGGCTGGATGACCTCTGGGTACCCCTTCTAGCCATGATAAGATTGCCTTAAGATCACCATAGTTCAGAAAACAACGCAAAAGCCCACACCAAAAAAAGGATATAAATTAAATAAATCCATCATCCCAAAAGCTAATAATAATAATAATAATCTTCCAAGGTCCAACTTGCTAGTATCGGCCGCTGCCTTAGCATCTGCATTGTGCTGGTTTGTCTCTAAAATGTCTACGCGATTTAGAAAATCTCCAAACCTTGCACAGGATGCCTTGACAGGAGTGCACAGAAGCCACATCACAAAGCAATATTTCCTTTCAATCTGAATCATGCAAAGCCTTGTTTTGCATGCGCAGGCATTTGCTTTTGCAAAGAGTTCCCTGGTTGCTTTTGGACCAGCTGCTTGCGCCCTTAATGCAAAACATCCCATTTCCCAAAGGGGTTTGTTGCAAAAAATTATGCCATAATGAAGAATGTAATCTGCATTTGAGAACAAATTATGTCCTTGCTAAAGTTTGAAGGGACTGCAATGCACGAGCGCTGCATGCAAGATAGGGCTCCCATTTCCTGCCATCGATTGAGAAGTGCATTTTGACGGGCAGCACAATGCTGACCCTGAGCTGAACGTCGGCCAGCAGTGTGACGATGCAGCAAAGAAGGCCAATGCTGTTTTGATTTATGAACTGCATTAATCGAACTGCAGCAATACTATCTGCTAACAAAGCCTCATATCCCCAAATCTGCCTTATTGCACTAATTGCAAACTTAAATTGAGCCTTTAGAAATGATAGTCGATGCATCCCAAAAAGACAAGAAAATGCCATTACAGCAAATAGCATGTATAATTTTCATTATCTCCCCCTTCCAAATGTTAGAGGTTTGGAACCAAAGGAAAAATTAATTTGGGGGGGGGGGGGGGGGGGGGCAGCATGAAAAAATGGGATTATTATTATTATGTGTTGCATTGCAAAGATATTATTATTATGTGTTGCATTGCAAAGATATTATTATTATTATTATTATTATTATTATTATTATTATTATTATTATGTGTTGCATTGCAAAGATATTATTATTATTATTGTGTGTTGCATTGCACTGCAAAGGTTATTATTATTATGTGTTGCATTGCAAAGATATTATTATTATTATTATTATTATTATGTGTTGCTTTGCAAAGATATCATTATTATTATTATGTGTTGCGTTGCATTGCAAAGATTATTATTATTATGTGTTGCATTGCAAAGATATTATTATTATTATTATTATTATTATTATGTGTTGCATTGCAAAGATATTATTATTATTATGTGTTGCTTTGCAAAGATATCATTATTATTATTATGTGTTGCGTTGCACTGCAAAGGTTATTATTATTATGTGTTGCATTGCAAAGATATTATTATTATTATTATTATGTGTTGCATTGCAAAGATATTATTATGTGCTGTATTACAAAGATTATTATTGTTATTATTATGTGTTGCACTGCAAAGATATTATTATTATTATTATTATTATGTGTTGCATTGCAAAGATATTATTATGTGCTGTATTACAAAGATTATTATTGTTATTATTATGTGTTGCATTGCAAAGATATTATTATTATTATTATGTGTTGCATTGCAAAGATATTATTATTATTATTATGTGTTGCATTGCAAAGATATTATTATGTGCTGTATTACAAAGATTATTATTATTATTATTATGTGTTGCATTGCAAAGATATTATTATTATTATTATTATTATGTGTTGCATTGCAAAGATATTATTATTATTATGTGTTGCTTTGCAAAGATATCATTATTATTATTATGTGTTGCGTTGCACTGCAAAGGTTATTATTATTATGTGTTGCATTGCAAAGATATTATTATTATTATTATTATTATGTGTTGCATTGCAAAGATATTATTATGTGCTGTATTACAAAGATTATTATTATTATTATTATGTGTTGCATTGCAAAGATATTATTATTATTATTATTATTATGTGTTGCATTGCAAAGATATTATTATTATTATGTGTTGCTTTGCAAAGATATCATTATTATTATTATGTGTTGCGTTGCACTGCAAAGGTTATTATTATTATGTGTTGCATTGCAAAGATATTATTATTATTATTATTATTATTATTATGTGTTGCATTGCAAAGATATTATTATGTGCTGTATTACAAAGATTATTATTATTATTATTATGTGTTGCATTGCAAAGATATTATTATTATTATTATTATTATGTGTTGCTTTGCAAAGATATCATTATTATTATTATGTGTTGCGTTGCACTGCAAAGGTTATTATTATTATTATGTGTTGCATTGCAAAGATATTATTATTATTATTATTATTATTATTATTATTATTATTATGTGTTGCATTGCAAAGATATTATTATGTGTTGTATTACAAAGATTATTATTGTTATTATTATGTGTTGCATTGCAAAGATATTATTATGTGTTGTATTACAAAGATTATTATTATTGTTATTATGTGTTGCATTGCAAATATATTATTATTATTATTTTATTATTTTTTTTATTTTATTTTTTATAAATAACTAAGGGAGAGGCAGAAATATGTCCAATTTTTTGCATTGTTCATGCTGACCTGAAACCCGGGCTGCAAGCCATGAATCGGATGAGAAAGTTGGGGAAGTTCGGCCGGAGAAGAGGAGCGAAGCTGGCGGCCAGGATTCAATGTATGTATATTTCATCATATATCTGAGAGGCGGTCCCAATTAGGAGGAGGGGCAAGGGTCGCTTTCTGTTGCTCCGGGGACTGGCATGCAAAGGAGTCAGGGCATCCCAGGACTTCCTGAGGGCTAAGAGATGCTTAGCAGTGGTTGGACTAGATGGCCTTTGGGGGTCCCTTCCCAATTTATTATTACTATATCTATGGCTGAGTGACCATCTGTTGGGGATGATTTGATTGTGCCTCCAAATTTATTATTCTATGACAGATATATCATAGAGCAATGTATGTCTATCTATATCAATCAACAGATATATTATTCTATGACATATATCTTAGAACAGTGTGTGTCTATCCACCTATATCTATCATCTGTTGGAGGTGATTTGATTGTGCTTTTCCTGCCAAGCAAAAGGGGGTTGGACTGGGTGGCCTTTGGGGGTCCCTTCCAAATTTATTATTACTATATCTACGGCTGAGTGACCATCTGTTTGGGATGATTTGATTGTGCCTCCCTGCCAAGCAGAAGGGGGTTGGACTAGATGGCCTTTGGGGGTCCCTTCCAAATGTATTATTCTATGACAGATATATAGTAGAACAATGTATGTCTATCTATTGTGTCTCCCTGCCAAGCAGAAGGGGGTTGGACCAGATGGCCTTTGGGGGTCCCTTCCAAATTTATTATTGCTATATCTATGGCTGGGTGACCATCTGTCGGGGATGATTTGATTGTGCCTCCCTGCCTATGACAGAGATATGTCAGGTATATTATCTGTCCATATCTATTGCTGGATGGGCATCTGCCAGGAGGGCTCAGATGGTGTGTCCCTGCCTGGCAGAAAGAAGAGGGTTGGACTAGATGACCTTTGGAGGCCCCTTCCCAATTTATTATTCTACGACAGATATATAACAGAACAATGTGTGTCTGCCTATCTGTCTATATATATGGCTGAGTGACCATCTGTCGGGGATGATTTGATTGTGTCTCCCTGCCTAGCAGAAGGGGGTTGGACTAGATGGCCTTTGGGGGTCCCTTCCCAATTTATCATTTTACAATAAATAAATATATCTCAGATATATTATCTACCCATATCTATGACTGGATGGGCATCTGCCAGGAGGGCTCAGGTGGTGTGTTCCTGCCTGGCAGAAAGAAGAGGGTTGGACTAGATGGCCTTTGGGGGTCCCTTCCAAATTTATTATTCTACGACAGCTATATAATAGAACAGTGTCTGTCTGCCTATCTATCTATATATATGGCCGAGTGACCATCTGTCGGGGATGATTTGATTGTGCCTCCCTGCCTAGCAGAAGGGGGTTGGACTAGATGGCCTTTGGGGGTCCCTTCCCAATTTATTATTCGACGACAGACTTTCCTTCTTTCCACAGAGGTTGGAGATGGAATAACAACAACAACAACAACAACATTTATTTATTTATTTGCAACCCACCCAATCTCATCCTTAGGGAGGGGTTTATTATTATTGTGTCCCAGCTTTGGGTGTGTGTGTGTGTGGTCCGACTAGATGTCCTTTGGGGGCCCCTTTTGGTCATGTGACTTGAGATATCCCTTCCTTCCTATTGTTGTTGTTGTTATTGTTGTTGCTGTGTATTTTATTTACTTACTTGTAGGTGAGCCCGTCGGAGGTGGCGAAGAGCTGCTGGGCGGTGAGTCCATCCTCGGGGACGTATCCGGTCCCGCCGCTGATCAGGTATTCCGCCAGGCTGCAGGTATCATGGGGGGGGGGGGGGGCAGGAAGTGTGGGGGGAAGTAGAGGGAGAGGGAGGTCCCCAAGGAGGAAGCAATAAGAGGGGGGGGGGAGAAAGGAAGAAGAGAGGATGTTAGCCCAGCAAGAGGACCACCGCATCACCCCAAAAGGCCCCCTACCCATAGGATCCCACCCCCCTTCCTCCTCTCCTTCCTTCTCTTCCTGCCCGCCACGTTTCCCTCTTTCCATCTTTTCCTTCCTCTTTCCCTTCCTCCCATCCTTCCTTCCCTCCTCCTACGCTTTCTTCCCTTCATCCGACTTCTTTTCCGCCTTCCATCTTTTCCTTCCTTCTCTTCCATTGCTCTTCCTCCACATTTTCCTTCCTTCCATCCTCGCTACATTCTTTTCCTCCTTTTCCTTTACTTCCTCTTTCCATCTTTCCCTTCCTCCTCCTACGTTTTCTTCCCTCCATCCAACTTTTTTTCCGCCTTCCATCTTTTCCTTCTCTTCCATTGCTCTTCCTCTACGTTTTCCTTCCTTCCTTCCTCGCTACATTCTTTTCCTCCTTTTCCTTTACTTCCTCTTTCCATCTTTCCCTTCCTCCTCCTACGTTTTCTTCCCTCCATCCAACTTTTTTTCCGCCTTCCATCTTTTCCTTCCTTCTCTTCCATTGCTCTTCCTCTACGTTTTCCTTCCTTCCTTGCTACATTCTTTTCCTCCTTTTCCTTTACTTCCTCTTTCCATCTTTTCCTTCCTCTTTCCCTTTCTCCTCCTACGTTTTCTTCCCTCCACCCAACTTCTTTTCCGCTTTCCATCTTTTCCTTCCTTCTCTTCCGTTGCTCTTCCTCTACGTTTTCCTTCCATGCTACATTCATTTCCTCCTTTTCCTTTACTTCCTCTTTCCATCTTTCCCTTCCTCCTCCTACGTTTTCTTCCCTCCATCCAACTTTTTTTCCGCCTTCCATCTTTTCCTTCCTTCTCTTCCATTGCTCTTCCTCTACGTTTTCCTTCCTTCCTTGCTACATTCATTTCCTCCTTTTCCTTTACTTCCTCTTTCCATCTTTTCCTTCTGTCTCTTTCTCATCCTCCAGTTTTTCTTCCTCCCACTTCCTTCTCTTTCCTTTCCTTCTCTTCTTCCTCCCACTTCTTTTCCTCCCTTCCATTCCCCCTCCCTCTCACTTCCTTCTCCCTTTCTCCTTCCCTCTCACCCACCCTTCCTCTTTCCTTCCTTCCCACTCTTGCTTCCTTTCCATCCTTCCTTCCCTCTCTCTTCACCCATGATTTCCTCTCTTCCTCCCCCGCTTAATTCCCTCCTTTTCTTTCCTTTCTATTTCCATCTTTTCTCCTTCCCACTTCCTCCTCTTTCGCTCTTCCTCCTCCCACTTTTCCTCTTTCCATATTTTCCTTCCTTCTCCTCCTCCACGTTTTCCTCCCTCCCTCCCATGCTAAGTTCCTTCCCTCCTTTTCCTTCCTATTTCCCTCCCACTTCCTCCACGTTCCTTCCTTCTCTTCCTCATTCCCACCCTTCCTTCTCTTACATCTCTTCTCCTCTGTTTCCCTCCCTCCCACTTCCTTCCCTTCCTCTCTCCCCTTCCTTCTTTCCATCTTCCTCCTCTTTCCTTCCTTCCTTCCTCCTCCCTCCTTCTTCCTCCTTCCTTCTCTTACATCCTTACGTTTCCCTCCCTCTCTCTTCCTTCTTCCTCCTCCCCCTTCCTTCCTTCCTCTTCTCCTGTTTCCCTCCCTCCCACTTCTTTCTTCCCTTCTTCCTCTTCCCCTTCCTTCTTTCCATCTTCCTCCTCTTTCCTTTCCTTCCTTCCTTCTCTTCCTCCTTCCCACTCTCCCTTCCTTCTCTTACATCCTTACGTTTCCCTCCCTCCATCTTCCGTCTTCCTCTTTCCTTCCTTCTCTTCCCTCCCCCAGCTCTCCCACTTCCTCTCTTCCCCTTTCTTTCTTTCTTTCTTTCTTTCTCTTCCTCTCTCCCCTTCCTTTCCATCTTTTCTTTCCCTCCCTCCTATGCTTCATTCCTTCCCTTCTTTTCCTTCCTTCGTATTTCCATCTGTTCCTCCCTCCCACTTTCTCCTCTTTCGCTCTTCCTCTTTCCATATTTTCCTTCCATTCCTCTTCCTCCTCCACGTTTTCTTCCCTCCCATGCTTAGTTCCTTTCCCTCCTTTTCCTTCCTATTTCCCTCCCACTTCCTCCACGTTCCTTCCTTCTCTTCCTCTTCCTCCCTCCCACTCTTTTTTCCTTCTCTTGCATCCCGTTTCCTTCCCTCCCTCTTCCTTGTCCTTCCTCTTTCCTTCCTTCTCTTCTCTCCTTCCCCATTTCCCTCCCACTTCCTCTCTTCCCCTTTCGTCCTTTCTCTTCAACTCTCCCCTTCCTCCTCCCCTCCCCTCTACCTTTCCCTCCCTCCCATGCTTCATTCATTCCCTCCTTTTCCTTCCTTTTCTTCCCCTCCCTCCCTTCCTCCCTTCCCCTTTCTTCCTTCCTCCTTTCTTCCCTTCCCTTCCCTCTCTTCTCCCTCCCATGCTTCATTCCTTCCCTCCTTTTCCTTCCTTTTCTTCCCCTCCCTCCCTTCCCCTTTCTTCCTTCCTTTCCCTTCCTCCTTTCTTCCTTTCCCTCTCTTCTCCCTCCCATGCTTCATTCCTTCCCTCCTTTCCCTTCCTTCCTTTTTCCATCTTTTCCTCCCTTCCTCTTTCCATATTTTCCTCCCTTCCCTTCCCTTCCTCTTCCTCCTCCACGTTTTCCCCATTTCCCTTCCCCTTCCTCCCTTCCCTCCTTTCCCTTCCTTCCTTCCTTTTTCCATCTTTTCCTCCCTCCCTCTTTCCTCTTTCCATCTTTTCCTCCTCCACGTTTTCCCCATTTCCCTCCCCCTTCCTCCCTTCCCCTTCCTTCCTTCCTTTCCTTCCTCCCTTCCCTTCTCTTCCCTCCCTTCTCCTCTTTCCTTCCTTCCTTCCTTTCCTCCCTCCCCCTCCCTTTCCTTCCTCCCTGCTTCCATTCTTTCCTTCCCTACCTGGGCGGCTCCCCTTCGCCCATGGCGGTGCCTGCACCAGCTCCAGGGGGCTCTCCTTCCTCCAGGCCGGGCCTCCTCCTCTTCCCCTTCCCCTTCCCTTCCTCCTTCCCTTCCCTTTTCCCTCCCAGCTCCGGGTCTTTCTCGTGCGCCACGCACGGGGGAGGGGCCAAAACAGGCCCCGCCCTCCGCGCCCACCGCGCACATTCTCCCCTTTTCTCCTGAAAGCGAGTCAGGGCGGGGACTAGCCCAAGCCACGCCCCTTTGTGGGCGGGGCGTGTGAGCAGCAGCACCACCCAATGCAGGCTCGCCCCTCCTTTGTTTTGGACTACAACTCCCAGCGTTCCTAGCTGCCTCGCGAGCTTAGAGGGGCTTCTGGGAGTTGGAGTCCCAAACCCCTTGCCAAGAGAGGAATCACTGCCTTGCTCTCCTTCCCTTCTTTTCCTTCCATTCACTTTCCTTCCTTTCCCTTCTTTCCTTCCTCCTTCCTTCCTTCAATCCTTTCTTTCCTCACGCCTTTCCCCCTTTTCTTTCTCTCCTTTCTCCTTCCTTCCTTCCTTCCTTCCTTCCTCTTCTCCTCCTCCTCGCTTTGCTTTCCTTCTCTTCCTTCCATTCAGTAACCTTTGTATGTTTTCCTTTCTTTCTTTCTTTCCTTCCTTCCTTCCTTCCTTCCTTCTTTCTTTCCTCACGCCTTTCCCCCTTTTCTTTCTCTCCTTTCTCCTTCCTTCCTTCCTTCCTTCCTTCCTTCCTTCCTTCCTTCCTTCCTTCCTTCCTTCCTCTTCTTCTCCTCCTCGCTTTGCTTTCCTTCTCTTCCTTCCATTCAGTAACCTTTGTATGTTTTCCTTTCTTTCTTTCTTTCTTTCTTTCCTTCCTTCCTTCCTTCCTTCTTTCTTTCCTCACGCCTTTCCCCCTTTTCTTTCTCTCCTTTCTCCTTCCTTCCTTCCTTCCTTCCTTCCTTCCTCTTCTTCTCCTCCTCGCTTTGCTTTCCTTCTCTTCCTTCCATTCAGTAACCTTTGTATGTTTTCCTTTCTTTCTTTCTTTCTTTCTTTCTTTCTTTCTTTCTTTCTTTCTTTCCTTCCTTCCTTCCTTCCTTCCTTCCTTCTTTCTTTCCTCACGCCTTTCCCCCTTTTCTTTCTCTCCTTTCTCCTTCCTTCCTTCCTTCCTTCCTTCCTTCCTCTTCTTCTCCTCCTCGCTTTGCTTTCCTTCTCTTCCTTCCATTCAGTAACCTTTGTATGTTTTCCTTTCTTTCTTTCTTTCTTTCTTTCTTTCTTTCTTTCTTCCTTCCTTCCTTCCTTCTTTCTTTCCTCACGCCTTTCCCCCTTTTCTTTCTCTCCTTTCTCCTTCCTTCCTTCCTCTTCTTCTCCTCTCTTTGCTTTCCTTCTTCCTTCCATTCAGTAACATTTGTCTCTTTTCCTTTCTTTCTTTCTTTCCTTCCTTCTTCCCTTTCTTTCCTCACGCGTTTCCCCCTTTTCTTTCTCTCCTTCCTTCCTTCCTTCCTGCCTCTTCTTCTCCTCTCTTTGCTTTCCTTCTCTTCCTTCCATTCAGTAACCTTCTTTGTCTGTTTTCCCTTCTTTCTTTCTTTCCTTCTTTCTTTCCTCACGCGTTTTCCTCTTTTTTTCTCTTCTTTCTCCTTCCTTCCTTTCTCCCTCCTCCATTTCTCTCCTTCCTTCCTCCTTCCTTCCTTCCTCTTCACCTTCCTTCCTCTTCTTCCTCTCTTCTTTCCTTCCTTCCTTCCTATCTTTTCCTTCCTTTCCTTCCTTCTTTGTTTTCTTTCCTTCTTTTTCCCCTTTCCTTTCCTCTCTCTCTCTCTCTCCCTCCTCCTCCTTCTTTTTCTTCCTTCCTTCCTTTTCTCTTTTCCTCCTTTCCCCCTCTTTCCTTTCCTCCTTCCTTCCTTCTCTTCTCCTCTCTTTGCTTTCCTTCTCTTCCTTCCATTCAGTAACCTTTGTCTCTTTTTCATTCCTTCCTTCCTTCTTTCTTTCCTCACGCTTTCCCCTTTTCTTTCTCTCCTTTCTCCTTCCTCCTTCCTCTCCTCCTCTCTCTTTCTTCCTTCTTTTCCCTCCTTCATCTTTTTTCCTTCCTTCCTTCCTTCCTTCCTTCCTTCCTTCCTTCCTTCCTTCCTTTTCTTTCCTCGCGCCTTTCCCTTTTTTCTTTCTCTCCTTTCTCCTTCCTTCCCTCCTTCTTCTCCTATTTTTGCTTTCCTTCTTTTCCTTCCATTCAGTAACCTTCTTTGTCTGTTTTCCCTTCTTTCCTTCCTTCTTCCTTTCCTCACGCGTTTCCCCCTTTTCTTTCTCTCCTTTCTCCTTCCTCCCTTCCTCTTATTTTCCTCTCTTTGCTTTCCTTCTCTTCCATCCATTCACTAATCGTTCCTTCCTTCTTTGTTTTATTTTCCTCCTGCCTTTTCCCCTTTCCTTTCTTTCTCTCTCTCCCTTCCTCCTTCTTTTTCTTCCTTCCTTCCTTTTCTCTTTTCCTCCTTTCCCCCTCCCTCTTTCCTTTCCTTGTCTTCCTTCTTTCCTCTTCTCATGTTTCCCCCCTTTCCTTTCTGTCTCTCCTTTTCTCTTTTTCTTCCTTCCTTTTCTCCTTCCCTTATACACCTTTCCCTTCTCTCTTTCCTTCTCTTCCTTTCATTCAATAACCTTCTTTGTCTGTTTTCTCTTCTTTCCTTCCTTCTCTCCTCTCCTCATACTTTCCTCCCTTTCCTTTCTGTCTCTCTCCTTTCCTTCTCTTCCTTCCATTCACTAACCTTCATTCTCTGTTTTCCTTTCTTTCCTTCCTTCTTTCATTTCCTCCCCTCATGCTTTTTTTCTTTCCTTTCCCTCCTTTCCCCTCCTTCCTTCCTCTTCTTTTCCTCTCTTTGCTTTCCTTCCCTTCCATCCATTCACTAACCTTTTCCTCCTTTCCTTCCTTCTTTGATTTCATTTCCTCATGCCGTCTCTCTCTCCTTTCCTTCCTCTGCTTTTTCTTCCTGCCTTCCTTCCTTTTCTCTCTTTTTCCCTTTTCCTTTCTGTCTCTCCCTTCCTCTTCTTTTTCGTCCTTCCTTCCATTTCTCTTTCCCTCATACGCCTTTTCTTTCTCTCTTTCCTATCCTTCTCTTCCTTTCATCCACTAACCTTTTTTCTTCTTTCCTTCCTTCTTCCATTTCCTCTCCTCATGCTTTTACCCTTTCCTTTCTCTCTCCCTTTTTCTTTCCTTTCTCCTTTTCCTTTCCTTCTCCTCCTTCCATTCACTAACCTTCTTTATCTCTTTTTCTTCTTTCTATCTTTCTTTCCTTCCTTCTTTCCTCATACTTTCCTCCCTTTCCTTTCTGTCTCACCTTTTCTTTTCCTTCCTTCCTTCCTTCCTTCCTTCCTTCCTTCCTTCCTTCCTTCCTTTTCTCTTTCCCTCCTACACCTTTCCCTTCTCTCTCTCCTTTCCTTCTCTTCCTTTCATTCACTAACCTTCTTTATCTCTTTTTCTTCTTTCTTTCTTTCATTCTTTCCTTCCTTCCTTCTTTCCTCATACTTTCCTCCCTTTCCTTTCCTTCTTTTCCTTCCTTTCTTCCTTTTTCTCTTTCCCTCCTACACCTTTCCCTTCTCTCTCTCCTTTCCTTCTCTTCCTTCCATTCACTAACCTTCATTCCCTGTTTTCCTTTCTTTCCTTCCTTCTTTCATTTCCTACCCTTGTGCCTTTTCCCCTTTCCTGTCTCTCTCCCTTCCTCCTTCTTTTTCTTCCTTCCTTCCTTTTCTCTTTTCCTCCTTTCCCCCTCCCTCTTTCCTTTCCTTGTCTTCCTTCTTTCCTCTCCTCATGCTTTCCCTCCTTTTCTCTTTTTCCTCCTCCCTTTTTCTCCTTCCCTCATACACCTTTCCCTTCTCTCTTTCCTTCTCTTCCTTCGATTCAGTAACCTTCTTTGTCTGTTTGCTCTTCTTTCCTTCCTTCTTTCCTCTCCTCATACTTTCCTCCCTTTGAAAATTACAATCAAAGCACCCACAACAGATAGCCACTCAGCCTTTGTAATAATAATATCAATAATAATAGGAGCAACCCCAAAGGCCATCCAGTCCAACCCCATTCTTTCTGTCAGGCAGAAAAGGCCCAGCCCTTGCAATAATGATAACAAGAACAAACTCCAATATGCTGATGACAATGTCATCTGTGCGCATTCAGAAGACGACCTACAAGCCACTCTAAACACCTTCGCAGAAGCATACGAGAAGCTCGGCCTGTCACTGAACATCAAGAAAAGCAAAGTGCTCTTCCAGCAGTCACCATCCAATCCCTCTCCAATGCCAGGAATACAGCTTAATGGTGTAACATGAGAAAATGTGGACCATTTCCGCTCCCTTGGCAGCCACCTCTCCACCAAAGTCAACATTGACACCGAAATACAACACCGCCTGAGCTCTGCGAGTGCAGCATTTTTCCGAATGAAGCAGAGAGTGTTTGAGGACCGTGACATCCGTAGGGAGACCAAGGGGCTTGCCTATAAAGGTATTGTCCTCCTAACCCTGCTACACGTCTGCGAAACGTGGACTGTCTCTAGATGTCAACATTTACACTGAAATACAACACCACCTGAGCTCTGCGAATGCATCATTTTTCTAAATGAAGCAGAGAGTGTTTGAGGACTGGGACATCCGTAGGGAGACCAAGGGCTTGTTTATAAAGCCAGGGTCCTCCCAACTCTACTATACGCCTGTGAAACGTGGACTGTCTACAGATGTCACATGCCACTCCAGGAATGATTCCATCAGAGCCTGAGCTCTGCGAGTGCAGCATTCTTCCAAATGAAGCAGAGAGTGTTTGAGAACCGGGACATCCGTAGGGATACCAAGGTGCTTGTTTATAAAGCTGTTGTCCTCCCAACCTTGCTATATGCCTGTGAAACGTGGACTGTCTACAGACGTCACATGCAACTCCTGGAATGATTCCATCAGCGCTGCCTCCAGAAAATCCTGCAAATCTCTTGGGAAGACAGGCGGACAAACGTCAGCATGCTGGATGGAAGAAGAAGCAAAGACCACCAGCACTGAAGCGATGGTCCCCCTCCATCAACTCCGGATGTTGTCCGGACGCCCGACCACCGTCTCCCAAAGCAGTTGCTCCACTCCGAACTCAAGAATGGAAAACGGAAATGTTGGAGGACAGGAAAAGAGATTGAAAGATGGGCTCAAAGCCAACCTTAAAAACTCTGGCATAGACACTGAGAACTGGGAAGCCCTGGCCCTTGAGCGCTCCAGGTGGAGGTCAGCTGTGACCAGCAGTGCTGCAGAAT